TTGTTCTTGATTTACAGCATCTGCAGTTCTTTTGGTTTTTATTTAGAGTTTCATAACAGCTCTCCGTGGCTTCTGTGCTTTCACTGCTTTCCAAACCTGCCCTGCCAACTTTGCCAATTTTTTTGGTTACATATCCCACGCCACTCTATTGCTGCACCCATTTCAGAATTGTGCCCTTTAATTTGTTGTGGCTCGCCTCTTTATTCATTCCAAAATATATAACTTCACACATTTTTGCATTAAATTTAATTTGCCATATGCCTATTCATCAATCTGCCTGCTTGTGTCTTCTGGAAGTCTGTTACTATCTTTGAGCACAATGCTTCTGAGTTTTGTGACACTGCAAATTTTGAAATTGTAGCGTACATGTCCAAGTCCGAGTCATTAATATACATCAAATAGTCACTTGGTAGAACAGGGCTTGAGTATTGCTGAAGAAATAAGCAGGCGTATTGTTGAAGCTTTTTGCCTTGCACTCATCACAGCAATCGCCCCTGGGAAGCTCTATTGCCTGTGTTGCTCCAGTCTGAAAAATAATCATTCACAACCTGTCACCCAGCAACTTTGTATCCATATTGTGATTTTCCATTTATTCCATGGGCTTCAATTTTGCTGGCTTATCTATTTTGTGGCACTTCAATAAATGCCTGTTGGATGCCTGTACAAAGAATAAAGAAAATTACAGCACAGGAACAGGTCCTTCAGCCGTCCAAGCCTGCGCCGATCCAGATCCTCTATCTAAACCTGTCGCCTATTTTCCAAGGATCTGTATCCCTCTGCTCCCTGCCCATTCATGTATCTGTCTAGATGTGTCTTAAATGACGCTATCGTGCCCGCCTCTACCACCTCCAACTCAACACGTCATCCATAATATCCTCATCAAAAATCTCAAATTAGTTTGTTTGAATGCTGTTTGCCTTTAACAAGTTTGTGGTAGTTTAATCTAATTGATCTGCACTTGTCCAAGCAATGGCAGTTTTATCCCTAAATACCATTTCTAAAAGCTTATGTGACTAATTTTGAGCTTAGAATATTTTATTATAGTCTTATGGAAAAATCGAATGCTGATTTAAATTTTTGAATTCAGTTATTGTCTCATATTACCAATGAACAAGTTATATTTTTTATAGTTTTCAACCAGATGCTTCTTTCGTACTTGGTCAGCCTTTAATTTCTACAACTGTTTTCAATTATATTAGCAAAATTGCTGTAGTAAAAAGAAAAGGAAATTAAGTTGCTTTTAAAATGTGTTACTGGGAGGTATGTGTCACTGGCAAGGTCAACATTTATTATTCCCTCCTAGTTGCCATTGAGAAATTGGTGATGAGGTAGCTTCTTAACCTGCTTCAGTTGGTATGGTGGAGGTATGTCTGCAGTTTTGTTAGGTATGAAGTCCTCGGATTTTGACACGGGAATGGACAGGAACAAAACTGTAGTTAGGATAATGTATGGATGGATGGGAATATGCAAGTGATTGTGTTCCTATGTGCCTGCTGCACTGCCCTCAAGATCACAGGTATGACAGAGGCTGTTAAGGCAATAGTAACCAGTTCTTGCAGTGTATCTGGTAGATGCTACACTTTGCAGCTGCATTGCATTGGTGGTGGAAGGACTGTACAAAGGTAGTGGGTACAGGAGCAATCAACTGGGTTGTATTATCATGGTCAATATCAAGCTGTTTAAGTGTCGTTGGAGCTGCGCTCATGGAGACCTGTAGAGAGTATTTGAATATACTTCTGATTTTTTTTTTTTTGCCTTGTTGCGGCTGGATAGGCCTGGGGAGCCCCACGGTGATTTAGTATACAATGTCCTGCTCTTATAGTCTTGGAGCCAAGTGGTATGGGGGCAGACGGAAAAGTAAAGATGAGACAATCCGCCATGATCCTGGTAAATTGTGGAGCCAGCTTGAACAGCCAAATGCCTACTGCGCCGAAGTCCCGCAGCCCACTTCATAGTATTCAGATGTTAGGTCCAGTTAAGTTTGTGATAACTGGTGATTCTGGGGAATGCTGTGATCTCAGTGCCATTGAATGTCAAGTGGAGTTGATCAGAATCCATCTTGTTGGAGTTGATCATTGCTTGAGATTTGTTTGATGTAAAACTTATTTCACATTTTTTAGCCCAATCTTGAATCTAAGTGTTGACTGGTTACTAATGTATGCAATTCTGAATTTTTTCTAAGTGTCGTCCAGTTACTGATATAAGCGAGTGCGAGTTTTGTTCTAGGTGAACTTGGTAACATCAAAGCTGGGAAGGCGGAGAAGCAGGACAGAAAAAGGGTGAGCAAGGTTACTGTCTGGCAAGTTGCAGGTGGAACTGAACATGTGCAATCATCAGGGCACATCACTGTTCCTGATCTTATGGTGGAAGGAAAGTATTTGTTGAAGCATGTGTCTTTCACTTCCTCCATGTCCAAAAGCATTTCAAAGACAATTTTGTTGTTTTTGTAGTGCAGGCATCAAGTGAAGGCCATATGCTTTTCCCAGGGAAGATAAATGAAGAGGCATAACTGCAGGATTACTTTAAGTATCTCCCCATGTTTGGTTGAAAGGCAACAAAGGCATAGTGCTCAGAAAATGTGTTGCCTGTAAGTTTGGTTTCTAATATAAGTTGGATTTGGGTTCAAAAAATCAGATAATAGCATGCTTTCAACAGTCGAAGATAAATTTGTGTAAAGCAGTCATGATGATAATTGTGTTTTGCTTTTAGGCAACATTTTACTCTGCTGGAAAAAACTACTTGTTAAGAATGTGCAATGGTGAGTGGCTATCAATCAACCAGTTTAGACTTGACTATCCTATTTTGCGTTAAATACTTGTATAAACAAGATCTGCTTGGTATTATCTTCAGGCGTTGTGCACAAAGGCAATTTTTTAAATACAGCAATCGTTTTAACCAAGTCTGTACCTCACACATGTGTAAATGGGATAATGTGCCTCAAAGCTAATACTTTTTCTTGAACTATGATACCTTGAACAAGCAGTAAGTGAGATGCGAGTCACTAAAAGGCTGTCTGGCGGTTGTGTTCAGGCTAAAGCTAACAGATTATTTATTTTATGAGAACATACGGAAGTGATAATATTGAAGGTTTAGTGACAGCTCATTACAATTAGTGGGCTGTCCACACAGCTTTTCTTGTGCCTAACACAAGTAATGATTTCTACCTTTATGAGAAAAGCAGCTATTGTTTATCATTTATCCTGCTGCAAGTGCGCTCAAAACAGTACAAGTCCATTACGTTCTCCAGGGTTCTGAATTTAACCAAGTGATACTGACTAATTCTGTATCTCAGACAATAAACCCTGAATCAAATTTACGTAAACTAAGAAGTAGCACATTTCACAAAATTACAACAAATATTTTCACAACTTATTGGTATTTTAAGCCTAGTTAAAATTATACATAACTGGAATTTTGATATTCTTTACTCCTGTGGACACATAGCTGTGAGAAAATATTTTCCACCAAAATTGTAGATTCATAAAAACATGAATATGTTATTATGATAAGGAAATGAGCTCTTGGATTTGATTTAAAGTGGTTTCAGTTTAACTATGGATCTTGCAAAAGCACGAGCTTTTAAATAATTTTAAAAATAATCCTTACAAAACATAAATCTCTTTTCCTGTGCTGTTTTCTCAGTCTCCGACACCATTATGTAACAAACTCAATTGTCATGAGGCCCCACTTAACTACCATTTCCAAGGAGGGTTTTCATTAGGGTTGCACATTTTGTTTATTTATTGCATCATGTATGCACCACACCCTCAGTCCGAGATAGTTGCATTTATCTTGCTCTATTATTGATAGATAGTTGTCTGTTCCTCAACATAATGATAAAACTGCTTAGTTCTTTTAAACCACAGATGATTTTAATTTGGTGCATTACAATTCTGTAGTCTGTGCACCAGAATTGTCTCAAAGGTCATTTTTAGTCTTTTTATAACCAGTCCTTCCTGAAAATTCTCTCAACCATTTCTTTTTCAATAATCAATTGGCTGCCTTGGTGTATATGAGGGTATAGTACACAGAAGCTTTATCAATTGGGTGAAACATAGCTGCAGAACCTAAGCATGAAAGTCAAATCATTCATTTCAGGTTTCTTTAACTGTGGAAAACCACAGTCCATTAAACACAGCATTGGAATTTAGATGGCATATATGGCACAGAAACAGCTCCTCAGCCCAACAAGTCAATGTCCTGTTTATACTTCATTCAAGCCTCTCCCATTTTCCCTCCTCTGAGTGTACTATTCTCTCTCTCACACTTGTTGAACTTCACCCTAAATGCATGGCTGCTGTTTGCTTTAATCATTCCACGTGCCACATTATTCATCTGAATTTCTTGGTGAATATCTGATATTCATGTCCTCTTGTTATGCTGTTTGTAAGAAGAGGTAATATTTTCTCTGTACCTGCACTATCTAAAGCTTTGTAACTTTTTTTGTACATCTGTACTTCAGCCTGTTTTCAAGAGATAAGTGATGCAGCTTGCCAATTCTTAGTCGATAAATATGCCCTTAGATTTCTGGTATCATCCTCGCAAATCTTCTCTGCACCCTTATCACTGTCTGCATGTTTATTTCTCCCATTACTTTTTCCAATATTCTGTCCTATGGCTTCTGACTATTGATGTGGCCTCCTTCAGTTAATGTCAGATTACTTCAACCTCAGTATGGTACAATTGCAAATTACAATTTCATGGATTCATTGTGTCCTATTTACAGCATGCTACACTATTAATGTATTTTAGAGTCAGGAGGGTTAAGTTCGTTGTATTTGTGCTATTTGTTTTTAATGTGAACTCCCCTATTCCAAACGTAATTCTAATCAATGATGCCTGCAAAACAATTCAACCAACCATATTTGTAACCCTTGGCAACTAGAAAATGGCTTAGCCTATTCTAATGCAGGTATAATTAAATTGGTCCACACTCATCAAATACAGACAGGTAGTAAAAGCATGGGTTAAATGCACATTGCTGATACCCTTCCTACTTAATCACGTCCCTTGACTCCTGCTACTCCCAGATGATGTTTGCAGTTATTGGTAACTGGAATAATTAAGGAACTCTCTCAATTCTATTATTGAATGATTGATTAATTTTAAACAAATTTGTTATATTGTGTGTCTGAATCAAAGAATTAATCTTCCCAACACCCTCCGCTTCCCCCAACCAACCAAGCGCATCTTTACAGAGATTCTGAACTTCTACCAAGTGAAGGACTTTCAAGACCATCTTTGTAACTGCTGTCTTTTCACTTGACACATTTTGCTAACATAATGACAAGTCAGATGATGGAGTTGTGAGTGCATGACTTCAGCTCTATTTCATAATATTGTATGCTACAGTTCCAACTGTTTTTTCTGTTGTCATGCCTTTTTATGTTTTTCACTAAGTGTAAATAATTTTGCAGATCTGCTACGAAGACTTTCCAAATCACAGAACACTGTTTTCTGTGGAAGAATTCAGTTATTCTTGGCCAGATTGTTTCCTTTATCAGAAAAGTCAGGTAAGAAATTAGAATAATTTCAAGGAACTTCCATTGCTACTTGTGCTCCTTTGATGTAGTGACTATTAGGTAGAATTCATTTTATATGTTGGCCATCTATCCGTACACCTCGTGGAGTACCATAAAAGAAGTTCTGGAGTTGCACCTCATTGTATGTCTCTCAACAAAACTATGACCAGGACCAAGGTTTTCTGGTTGGTGGTGAAGAGAATGCACTTTGTGCTGACCTCAAAGAAAGCATGCAATCTCGATGGAGTAGTTTTCGCATTTTGCACTACTAATTTCATTCTGAAACCAGCTATAAAGGATCTCGGACTTCCCTCAACAGTGATGCCATCAAAAAGACCAAGTAGCTAATCATATTAAAGAATTCTCACAACCAGGAAGTGTGAGCAGTTTTGTTTTGCTCTCCATTCGTCACTCTCTCACTGTCCCCATTTTCTCTCCAACCCCACCTGCTGCCTGGCCGTGTCCTTTGTCCCACCCCGTCCCCGGTCTCTGTCTGTCTGTCTATCTCACCCATCTCTTGCAATATTTCCCTTCATCCCCCATCACCGTTAGAAGTTTCCTGAAAAAACACTATTTCAGTTAAACGTCTTGTCACCCATTCTAGTCTTTCCTCCTGGCTCAGCATCTATTTCCTTTGCTTCCATTTGTGATGCACATTGTGTCTTTTATTGCAACAAATTCCTTTCAATAGCTGATGGTTATGATCATTTAATGAAAGTAAGAGTGAAAATATATGTGCTTCTGAATCAGCCTTCCCACAAGCAGCCTGTGTACCCATCTGCAGCCTCAGGAATTCACTTTATAGCCTTAAAGAGAACCGTGTGTACTTTATTAGTTGACTAAGCAGCAAGCTTTCCATCTGTATAATGTCCTACTAATTATAAAGCAGAATGGTTGCCAAAAACTGAGTTGTCACATAGAAAAGACGTAAATTTATACTCTCCATTTGATTTCCAGAGGACAATCTAAGCTCTTAAATTAATTCCTTTTGAATTGCAATTACTTATTGTGCAGGTGGATGGGGCCCCCATGTTGTATACAACCAAGTACCATAAATAACAAAGGATGTTTATAGGGTAATTGAAGGAGCAGTATTGGCCAGGGGCAAGTGCTGTGGGATATTTGGCAAGCAGGCTTTCAATTTAATCTGTCATCTGAAGATTGGGGTCTCATGAATGCAGTCCTTCTTCGTCGATACTGCAATATCTACAGGATGTTGAATGGATCAGTATCCAATCATAGAAAGCAAAGAATGGTTACAGCACAGGATGAGGCCATTTGTCCTTCTTGTCCTTTCTGGCTCCCTGGAAGAGCAACTCACTCAGTCCCATTCCATGGTATTTTCCCCTTTGCCCTGCACATTTTTCTGTCTAAGTATTATTCCAGTTTTCTTTTGAAAGTGTTGATTGAATCTGCCTCAAGCAATACTTTCCAGGGGCAGCTACTCATGCATATAAAACTCATGCATTTTCTCATTTACTTATTGTTTCATTTACAAATGAGTATAAATGTTTGATGTAGGTTGTCAATCCTGCCAACAGGAGCAGTTTCTCTTTGACTACTTTGTCCAGACCTTTTGCAGTTTTGAACACTTCTGTCAAATCAGCTGTTTAATTATCATTGCTCCAAGGGGAACAGCCCCATTTCTCCAGTTTGTCCACGTGACTAAAGTTCCTAATCCCTGGAACCATTTCCGTAATTCTTTCCTGTGCCCTTTCAAAAGCCTTCATAAAGTTCAATGCCCAGAATAGGACACAGTACCCAGACTGAAGTCAAACCAGTGTTCTGCTCATGCTCAAACTCCATGAGTCTTCTACCTTGGGAAGTGAGGGAGTGCCACTAACAGATCCAAGTTAAAATTTTAAACTCAACAAAGAGAAAATTTTTAACGTATTTATAGCCATCGTTCTCTTATTTATCCAATTGATTTCTGAGAGCAATAAGATTTTTAAAAAAAAATTTTGATTTCTATCAATATATTTTTCTTCAAATTTATGAATCATGTTACTCTTGCAGGATCCATTCTTATTACTGTTTTGCATTCCTTTTGAAATATTTATCAATAGTGCATGCACCTTAAATGTATTATCTTCAAAAATGATGGCGAAGTAATGATTTTCAATTATTTATATTCTGCCCTGCATACCTCCCTACTCTCGGAGCTCAAACTTGCTCTCTCTCCATTCAGATAAGTTTGCTGCTTTATTCTGAAAGTGAACTGTCAAAAGTCCACAATTTTAAGTAATAGCTTGATGCCTTTCTTACTGTCTGTGCACATACATACAAAGAGTCATGCAGAATGAAAACAGACCCTTTGATCCAACTCATTTGTGCCGACCAAGTTTCCCAAACTAACCTTGTACCACTTGCCTGCTTTTGGCCAATATCCCTCTAAAACTTTCCTATTCTTTGTACCTATCCAAATATATTTCAGATGTTGTAAATGTACCTGCATCTACCATTTCCTCTGGCAGTGCATTCCACATATGAACCACCCTCTGTATGAAAAAGCTGCCCCTCAGGTCCCTTTTAAATCTTTCTCCTCTCACCTTAAAAGTATGCCCCTTTGTTTTGAACTCCCCTACCCTAGGCAAAAGACCTTTGCTGTTCACTTTATCTATGCTCCTCATGATTTTACAAACCTCTATATGTCACCCCTCAACCTCCTCCTCTCTAGTGAAAAAAGTTTCAGCCTATTCGGCGTCTACCTATCACTCAAACCCTCCAGTCCCAGCAACGTCCTGGTCAATCTTTTCTAAACCCTGTCCAATTTAATGGTATCCTTCCTATAGCATAGCGACCAGAACTGTACATATACTCCAAATGTGGCCTCACCAATGTCCTGTACAACCTCAACATGACGTCCCAATTCCTATACTCAGTGGACTGAGCAATGAATGCAAGCATGCTAAATGCCTCATTAACCACCCTGTCCACCTGTGATACAACTTTCAAAGAACTCAGCTTTGCTTATTTCTTTTACCTTGTGATTTGTTTTAAACAAAAATGTTCTATTTCATTGAATTTTGACTTACCTCTTCGAATTTTCACCTTCACTGATCTCTGGTTCATTGCCTGTTTGTACTTGAGCATGTTCCTGTATTTAAATCATATTTGTTTCGATGTTTTCATGCTTTGACCGAATTGTTGCTTCGTGTACTTTTAGCCTGCTGTTGGTGCTACTAATATTACGACAACTTCTCCAGCAGCATAAACCTTGATATTTTGATATCAGAAATATGGGTGATAAAAGGAAACAATACCAAGTTCTTTTGACCTGAGAATGAAGGCTAGGCATGGTGCGATTCACTCTGCTCTGTAAATTCTCCAAGCCAGGAACTTCTTCAGATTCATCTCCAACAATCAACATGTCAAGAAAAACATTTTTAAAGCTATGGCACAGAAGTAGCTGCAATGATCACAGATTCAGAAGCTGGGATCTAACTTACTGTATTTCTGTAATGTGTTCTTTTTTATTTCAGGGCTTAATTTGCAAAGTCAGTTTAACCTGGAAAATGTCACTGTGTTTAACACTAATGAACAGGATAGCACGCTGGGGCTGAAGGTGAGTGTTTATTAGAATTTACTAAAAGTGCAAAAGTCATATTGAGCAATATACCACTAATTATTTTTGTTTTTGTATGATTAATAATTTAAATGTATTTTGAGAATTTTCAGCACACGGAAGATAGAGAGGATGGAATGGAAGTTGAAGAAGGAGAGACAGGTGACGAGGAGCCGACTACAACTTGGTGAAGATCTTTTTGTTAGCCTTGGAGAAGTTCAGAAATGCTTAGCCTTTGTCAATGCATGAGTATTTAAACTTAAGTGAAATGAATATTATTGAGAGCATAGAATTACATTGCCTGTTTCTGCACGGAGAGTTCTGTTTGGCCCAGCTGGTGCTGTTGGTGCTCTGAGCCTCCCTCTTCCATTCCTATGACACCTAATTTGCCTGCATATTCTTCCAATCATTTCTCCCAACTAAGTTCCACTGAAGAGCAACTAAACAGGAATGAAGTCATTAAGTTTCACACTTAAGTATGAATTATTAAATTAAAATTAAGTGTGGGGCTATGGGGCAAAAGTAGAAGAAAAGCACAAAGGCACAAAGCTCATTTGGAGCACCAGTGCAGAGAGACAGTGTGGTATAGGCCTCCTTCTGCACTAACAGTTTTGTGATTCTATCAAGTCACCAGCTAGGAGCAGGAGTAGGCCATTCAGCCCTGCAAATCTGCAGTGCCATTGTTGATCATAGTTGATCATCTATCTCAAAACCATATTCTTGTGCTTTTCCAGATCATTTGCATTATTATTTACAAATGTATCGATGTCTTTCTCGAACTTAGTTAATGACTGACCTTCCGAAGATCCACCTCTGTCTGTTGGAAAAGTTCCTCCTCATCTTGGTCCTGAATGGCATACCTTTTGTTTTGAGACTTGTTAAGTTCCAGGAAAGACCAAGATGCTAAAACCTTTTACAGCAGGAGCTTTATTCTGAAGGTGTTTGTACAGTAAACATCTATGTTAGACTAAGCTGTTACCCATCCAAATTGGCCAATGATGTCAACATTGTTATATGATCAGATGCTTAAAGTGAAAGTCCACTATTCTTGCAAAATTACACAACACTCTTCCCCTGTTACATCAGACAATGTTTACAATCATATATACAAAATCAGGTAATATGCTCTGGAGGATGTTGATTCCTGTGTTCTGTAAGCACTTGAGCATAATGTCTCTCCAGAATCGAAACATCTAGAGTTTAAACAAGAATCAACCTGCGATTAGCTTCCAGACCAGGTATATAAACGAATCGGTTTTTGTTTTTTTGTTTTAAAAGAGAACTGCTGCTTTCTGTCCAAAGGTCACCTTCAATTCTCAGCTCTATTTCATCCAAAAATGACAGAAAACAAAAACAACAAGTGTTATAGTATCTTGAATCTGCGTAGTCCAATGTGTAATAATTATCAAATATTTCTTTGATCCTGGATTTACATTCACTTGGAGATAGGTTTCTCTTACTGAAAACCTGACATTCGGCGAGTCCAGCAAATAGGTCATTGATTAAAGGCAAAGGATACTGCTCAGCAGTCAGTACCAGATTAATACTGACTTTAAAATCACCTGAAATGTGCACTGATCCATCCTTCTTCATCACTGGTATGATAAGCGTGGCCCAATCAGTCTCATTTAGAAATCAACGACTCCTGTCTTGGCCAGCATCTCTCATTTTGCCTTAAGCTTCGTCTGATTGCTGAAGGAACTGATCTAGCCTTGAAGCAAAGACAAAGTTGCTGGAAAAGCTGAGCAGGTCTGGTAGCATCTGTGGAGGAGAAAATAGAGTTAACATTTCGGGTCCGGTGACCCTTCCTCAGAACTGGCCTTGAAGCATTTTGTTTGATTTTCATCCTTGATTTTCAATTTGACAAAGATCTTTTCCATGCTTTCCAGATCCATATGGAAAACAGTGGCATATTTCTTTAGAATTTTGTGATATATCAGCCTCAGATTCTCAGAATCTGACAAGCTATTTACTTCGTCACAGTTGAGTTTGCTTTTCTCCAACTATGTTCTCCCCAATAAAGTTGGGAAATTTCCTTTAGTAATGTGCAAGGATAGATCTTCAGACTGACCATATAACTCAACAGTCGCATTGATGCAATCCCTTAAAGGCACCACTTTGCCTGCATATGCTCTTGCTACAGTTTTTGAGGTGATTCAGCTGCTTCTGATATAGTCTTTCAGGAATCAATGAAACTGCTGTTCTGGTGTCCACCCCCATTCTTACCAATTTGCCATCCAGTAAGGGAGTGTCCCAGTATTGATTTCTGTCGCCAGCAATGGCCAATGTGTTTAATAACAGCTCCTCTTTAGAGAGTCTGGGCTCTTCTCATCCCCTTTTGTACCATGTACATGATCTTTCAACTCCTTGGTTTCTGTATTTTTGCTGTATGTCGTTCATGTTTCTTCCTCAAAAACACCCATTCAATGTGCCCTTTTGTGCTGCAAATTCTGCTTACAGCTTCTTTATAATAAGCAGTTTGCTGCTGCATGACTTGTTTTTCTGCATTGATGGCAGTTTCGAGTGTGTGTTGGTGATAGTCAGTTAGCTGCCATCTTGTGAACTGTCATGTTCGAGCTTAACTGCCTTGGTAGCTAGTTCCAGTGAGACTGATATATCCAGAGCTTTCTATGCTCTTTTCTGTTAGTAATCTCTCCTGGAATTCTTCACATCTTAAACCACACGCCAGTATCTCTCTGATGGTCTCATTTACAGTTTTATTTGAAATCACAAGAAGTCACCTGATGAAGGAGCAGTGCTCCAAAAACTTGTGATTTCCAATAAACTTGTAAGTCTATAACCTGGTGTCATGTGACTTCTGACTTTGTCCACCCCAGTCCAACACTGGCACCTCCACATCAAAGCTTGGTTGGATTCATAGAAGCTGAACCTTCAGAAATCACTGGTGTTTTTTTGTGAAAAATGGTTCTGTAGAATTCCTATTATTTCTTCATAAGAAACAATACCCTTCTTAGAAAAGAGCATCCCCCACCCACAACCATCTCCCTGGGTAGTAATAGTCAGGGATGCAGGGACAAGTATATCTGCTTCTATTTTGTCAGCTTGAAATAAATAATGTCTCTGTGTAGGAGTTCCAGTTGTCTGTACTTTCATCATTGGAGCCAAAATTTCTGTCATAGTTTTTTTCAAATGGGAAGGGCCTGTGTGGCAAGATGTACCATGAAAATGTTTGTACAACATTACTTCTTTACATTTTAAACAAGGTATTCCTAAGGCTGCATGCTTATTTCTGAGTCTACGTCTCTGGCTCAAAATATTACCCTCTTGTAGGGTACTTGTTACAGTATTCCTCTATAGGTGGAGCATGTGGCGAGCTGCACTGTTCACCTCTTCCCTGAAGTGGAGTCTTTTTTTTAAGCACTTTTTATACCATTCTTGTCGCCAGTTTTCTTCTGTTAAGCTTCAAGAAGGAGCAGGAACTTTATTATGGAGATGTTTACTCTACAGGCAGCAAGATTAGAGTAAGCTGTTTCATGCCTAAAATGGCCAATGATGTCATGTGATTGGACTCTTACAGTGAAAGTCCACGGCTATGTCCTGGTTCTCGATCTGACAGCCAGGATTCTCTTAAATGTGTAATAATCAGTTTAGGCTTCATGTTTATTGCCTTTATAAGCCGTTAGGTTTCATCCTTTGTTGATGTTTTTTAATTGTTCACAATCCTGTTTCAAATTGTAAACTGGCTGTTAGATTTGAACCAGGTGATCAAATTTTTGTCTCAGCTTACAGGGCTTGCATCCTAAATATTGTCCTACTCTTGCCGGATATAGAGTTCTGGTTTAATAGTTTTCTGTTGTTGCTTTAATGAGTGTTAACACTTATATTTCTGTTTTAACTAGCTCTGTTCCAATTGATTATAACTTATACCGGAAGTTTTGGTCACTTCAAGATTTTTTCAGAAATCCCCTGCAATGTTATGAAAAAATTTCTTGGAAGACATTTCTAAAGGTAAAATTATCTGTTCATGAATAAGATGCAGCTCTATCTCTTAAAAAGTACTCTTTTATTCTGCTTGTGTTCTGTAAAAACAAAACTTATGTTCATCAGATGATGGTGTTGGATTGATATAATTCTCAGAGGCCCTGGAAATTTGTAGAAGTTATTTTTGGAGGATGTGATGTATTTGCAATACCAGTTTCTGAAGCTTGGAATTTTTCAAAATTCAGCAAGTCCAACAAAATCTATGCAGAGAGAGTTAATGCTTCATGTTGATAATTTTGAATAGAACTGGGGAAAGTTAGAAATATTAAGGAGGTGAAAAGGAGGGAGGGGAGGGAAAAGAATGCAAGGGATTGTGTGGTACAGCACAAGACAGAAGTCATTAGATAAGAGTTTAGCAGTAATGGGACAAGTAAAGAAACAAAATAATTCCCAAAGGTGAATGGTGGAATAATGAACAGTTTAAGTTCATGAGTGAAAACAAAACAATGTGAAATGTAAAGGAAAGAAATTAAAGATGGGGGCAAAGATTATGATTTTTAATTGTTGAACTGAACGACAAGTTGAGAAGGCTTGAAGTGCTGAATGGAGTGATGAGGTACAATTTCTTGAGCTTCCATTGAGATTTGTTGAAACGCACTAAGCTAAGGCTAGAGATATCAATGTGAGAAAAAGGTGGAGAATTAAAATTGCAGGCTGCTGGAGGCTTTGGGTCACAGGGGATCAGATGTTGTGCAAAATGGCCACCAAAATGATTTTTGGTTTTCTCAAAGTAGAGTGGAGCACACTGAGGTAATAAAATATACTAATGAAAATAGTGTCCATAAATCATCTGGAAGGAGCTTTTGGGTCTGTGATCAGTGAGGAGTGAGTTGGTAAAAGTGCACTTTTTAAATTTCTTTTGTGGGATGTGGATATCAATGGCAAGGACAGCTTTTGTTGTCCATCCCCTATTTTTCTCAATCTAAATATTTGATGGGCAATTTCAGAAAGTAGTTAATAATCAGTTACATTGCTGTGGGTCTGGGCAAGAATAATAGATTTCCTTTCCTAAAAGGCATTAGTGAAACTGCTGTGTTTTCACAATGGTTGGTTTCATGACCATTACTTACACTAGCTATGAATTTGACATCTTTTTCTTGATTTTTTTTTATTGAATTCAAATTCTACCAGCTGCTGTGATGAGGTTTAAGCTCTTGTCCCAAGATCATTAATAATCCATTGACATTATTGCAATGCCATTGCCTCCTTTTTGCTTATCTTGTGCTGGCATGGAAATCTGCAGTGGGAATGCTGGGAGTGAAGAAGGAGTGGCCCAGGGTGTCACAGAGGTAAAGAGTCAGTCCAGGAAATTTCTAGTGAAGAGTGAGATGATGGCAGGCAGATTGAACCCGTATTTTACGTTTTTTGCTGGAGAATAGTGGTGCCCAACCTATGACCCATCAGACTATTGAGCTTAAATAGTCCTCATGCACGTGTCTTCGTGCATAAATCTCAAAACGTTAGTATGCAGATGCAGAAAGTTCTTAAGAACACTGATAGAATATTATTATTTATTGCAGGGGGATTTGAATACAGAGGTAAGGAGATTATACTTCAGTTATGCAGGGCAGTGGTGAGAGCAAACCTGGCATAGTGTACACATTGGTATTGGTCTTATTACAGCCTTGATTCAAACATGGACAAAAGAGCTAAATTCCAGAGGTGAGGTGAGAATGACAGCCCTTGATATCAAGGCTGTATTTGACCAAGTGTGACATCAAGGAGCCCTAGCAAAACTGGAATTAATGGGTATCGAGGGCAAACTCTCCAGTGCAAGGAGTCATACCTGACACATAGGAAGATGGTTGTGGTAGTTAGTCAGTCATCTCAGCTCCAGGACATCTCTGCAGGAGTTCCTCAAGGCAGTATCCTCGGCCAATCCATCTTCAGCTGCTTCATTAATGACCTTCCTCCATCATTAAGTTAGAAGAAGGGATGTTTGCTGATTGCAGTGTTCAGCAACGTTCGTGACCCCTCACGTACTGAAGCAGTCCATGTTCAAATGCAACAAGAACTGGACAATATCCAGGCTTGGGCTGACAAGTGGCAAGTCACATTTGCACCAGACAAATGTTGGGCTGTGACCATTGCCAACAAGAGACAATCTCACCACTGTCTCTTGACATACAATGGTATTACAATCACTGAATTCCCCTACTGTCAACACCCTGGGGTTATCATTGACCAGAAACTCAACTGGATTCACCACATAAACACAGTGGCTACAAGAGTGGGTCAGAGGCTAGGAATACTGCAGCGAATAACTCACCTCCCAACTCCCCAAAGCCTGTTCATCATCTACAAGGCACAAGTCAGGACTGTGATAGCATCATTCCCACTTGCCTGGATGAGTGCAGCCCCACCAACACTCCAGAATCTTGACACTATCCAGTTTGATTGGCACTACATCCACAAGCATCCACTCCCTTCACCACCAATGCTCACGAGCAGCAGTGTGTACTATCCACAAGATGCAGTGCAGAAATTCACCAAAGATCCTCAGACAGCAGCTTCCAAACCCACAACCACTTCCATTTAGAACGACAAGGGCAGCAGATATATGGGAACACCACCACCTGCAAGTTCCCCTGCAAGCCATTCACCATCCCAACTTGGAAATACATCGCCGTTCATTCACTGTCATTGGGTTAAAATCCTAGAATTCCCTCCCTAATGGCCTTGTGGGTCAACCCATGGCAGGTGGACTGCAGTGGTTCAAGTGGTTCACCACCACTTTCTTAAGGGCAACTAGGGATGGGCAATAAATGCTGGCCAGCCAGTGACATCTACATTCCACAAGTGAACTAAAAAAAACAAAATAACCTGACTTTATACTCCACTGATATATAGTAAAAGTAGTGAGTACCAACTTCAATATGCACTGCAGAAATTCACCAAGACTTATTAGACAGTACCAGATGGAACAGCACCACCTGCACCTTCCTCTCCAAGCTACTCACTATCCTGACTTGGAAATATATCACCATTTCTTCACTGTCACTGGGTCAAATTTCTCAAAGTTACACTGTATCCCCTAGTTTTTTACTTTCCAAAAGACAAGGACCCTCTCAGAATTTGTCTTGTCAGGTACCTTCAGGATCTTGTACATTTCAGTAAGATCACTTCTCATTCTTCTAAATTTTTTAGGGATCCTCTTGGAAGGAGTGATCACAGTACGGTTGAATTTAGAATACAGATGGAGAGTGTGAAGATAAAATCCAATACCAGGGTCCTGTGCTTGAACAAAGGGAACTACAATAGAATGAGGGAGGACTTGGCTAAAGTAGACTGGAAACAAAGATTTTATGGTGGGACAGTTGACGAGCAGTGGAGGATTTTCAAAGCAATTTTTCAAAGTGCTCAGCAAAAGTATGTTCCAATGAAAAAGAAGGACTGTAAGAAATGGGGTAATCTGCCATGGGTGTCTAAAGAAATAAGGGAGGCTATCAAATTGAAAGAGAAGGCATATAAAGTGGCCAAAAACAGCATGAAACTAGAAGATTGGGAAAACTTTAAAGGTCAACAGAAAGTCACAAAAAGAGCTATAAAGAAAGGTAAGATAGGACATGAGAAAAAACTAGCACAGAATATAAAGACAGATAGCAAAAGTTTCTATAAATATATAAAACGAAAAAGCGTGGCTAAAGTAAATGTTGGCCCTTTAAAGCATGAGAAGAGGAATTTAGTTATGGGATATGATGCAATGGCCGAGGCATTGAACAGGTATTTTGTATCGGTCTTCACAGTGGAGGACACTAATAACATGCCAGTAATTGACAAAGAGACGAAGGTAGGTGAGGACCTGGAAACAATCATTATTACGGAAGAAGTAGTGTTGGGCAAGCTAATGGAGCTAAGGATTGATAAGTCTCCTGGCCCTGATGGAATGCATCCCAGGGTACTGAAAGAGATGGCGGGAGAAATAGCAGGTGTACTGGCGGTAATTTTCCAAAATTTGCTGGACTCCGGGGCAGTCCCAGCAGATTGGAAAACAGCAAATGTGACGCCACTGTTTAAAAAGGGAAGTAGACAAAAGATGGGGAATTATAGACCGGTTAGCTTAACCTCTGCATTGGGGAAGATGCTTGAATCTATTATCAAGGAACAAATAGCAAGGCATCTTGATAGAAATTGTCCCGTTGGGCAGACGCAGCATGGGTTCATGAAGGGCAGGTCATGCTTGACAAATCTTTTGGAATTCTATGAAGACATTATGAGCGAGGTGGACAATGGGGACCCAGTGGATGTGGTGTACCTAGATTTCCAAAAGGCCTTCGACAAGTTGCCACACAAGAGGCTACTGCATAAGATAAGGATGCATGGCATTAAGGGTAAAGTATTAGTATGGATAGAGGATTGGTTGACTAACAGGAAGCAAAGATTGGGGATAAATGAGTGCTATTCTAGCTGGCAGTCAGTGACTAGTGGTGTGCCTCAGGGATCGGTGTTGGGACCGCAATTATTTACAATTTATATAGATGATTTGGAGTTGGGGACCATGTGTAGGGTGTCAAAGTTTGCAGATGACACTAAGATGAGTGGCAGAGCAAAGTGTGCAGAGGACTGTGAAACTTTGCAGAGGAAAATAGATACATTGAGTGAGTGGGCAAAGGTCTGGCAGATGGAATACAATGTAAATAAATGTGAAGTTATACATTTTGGTAGGAGTAATAGTAAAAAGTTGCAGCATGCTGCTATGCAGAGGGACCTGGGTGTCCTTGTGCATGAATCACAGAAGGTAGGTCTGCAGGTACAACAAGTAACTAGGAAGGCAAATGGAATTTTGTCCTTCATTGCTAAAGGGATTGAGATTAAAAGCAGAGAGGTTATGTTGCAGCTGTACAAGGTGCTGGTGAGGCCACACCTGGAGTACTGTGTGCAGTTTTGGTCTCCTTACTTGAGAAAGGATGTACTGGCACTGGAGGGGGTGCAAAGGAGGTTCACTAGGTTGATTCCGGAGTTGAGGGGGTTGGCTTATGAGGAGAGACTGAGTAGATTGGGATTATATTCATTGGAATTCAGAAGATTGAGGGGGGATCTTACAGAAACATATAAAATTATGAAGGGAATAGATAAGATAGAAGTAGAGAGGATGTTTCCACTGGCAGGTGAAGCTAGGACAAGAGGGCATAGCCTCAAGATTAGAGGGAGCAGATTTAGGACTGAATTGAGAAGGAATTTCTTCACCCAGAGGGTTGTTAATCTATGGAATTCCTTGCCCAATGAAGTAGTTGACGCTACTTTAGTAAATGTTTTTTTAAAAAAGGTAGATTTTTTTTGAACAATAAAGGAATTAAGGGATACGGTGAGAACGTGGGTAAGTGGATCTGAGTCCATGAAAAGATCAGCCATGATCTTATTGAATGGCGGAGCAGGCTCGAAGGGCCAGACGGCCTACTCCTGCTCCTAGTTCTTATGTTCTTAATAGGCACAGGCCCAACCTGTTCACCCAATGTAACATAATCTCTTCATCCCAGGAATGAGCTGAATGAATATTCTCTTAATTGCTGCTAATGTGATTTTTATCCTTTTATAGTCAGCAGCCACAGAACCTTAGACAGCCAATATCTTCAATAGTTGGGTTTCACACATTTGCCAGCTACAGTAAGCATGCTGATTTTTGTTTGGCTGCTATCTCCAAAAACCTGGTGAAATCTTCCAGGTCAACTTGGTGCCGCTCTTGGCTTTGTGTGACATTGTGTTTGTGAGTTTGTGGTGCAAATATCTTAATAGAAAAACAGCTGTGTTTTGATGATGGTCGTTGATCTGTATATGAACAACAATTAGTGTTGCTTTTGTGAATTAGCCACCCAATCACCCCAAAGATTTAATGTCTCCCCACTGCATGTTCTACATGTAGTAGCCAGGCTGGGGATACTTCAGTAATTGGACATCTGATTAAAATTATAGGAACCTCCCATGTTACTGAGCTCTGATATATACATTTAGAATTTTAGGGTTGAACATTCTTTGACCAGACTTTCTTTGTTAGACTCAACTTACTGTGAATGAAAAATACATGGCCATAAATTGTGTAATGATTTACAGAAGATCAGATCTAATTATTTAATTATGTGCAGTTTATTTTGTCTTTCATTGGGTTCGATCGATTCAATTAATTTCAGTTTGAAACCAATGAAAAGTCTGCATGCTACAAAAAGACTACCTCTGTGCTTGTAAAATATTTAGTTCTGTATAATTGAATGGTCTGTGCTTTAACCCATTTACTTGATGCTCTCGGCTATGTCCTGATGCATACAAGCGAAATGGTTTGACAGATGTCTTTTTCCAGCAATAACTAACCCACTTATGTCAATTTACCTTAAAGCATTCCGATGAGGTATTGGATGTTTTCAGAAGCTACAAACTGGATGACATGCAGGCTTCAAAAAAGAAGCATGAAGAATTAAAACCTCCAGGGGAAGAACATGTTTACTTCGCTAAATTTTTGACGAGTGAGAAGGTATTTTGTTGATAATTTATCAGTGTCATTTGCTTTACTGTTGTTTTTGGAATAGAATTGAATACACAAGTGATTACTTTTATCAGTGATTTTTTTTGTAGATTCCATAATCAAACTCAATTTCCTACTTAACATATTGTGTAGTAGATACACAACTTTATTAAACTAGCCTATTACAACCATATAATACGCAAGAGACTTCTTGAATTGCAAACATATTCTGTCTCTCAAAAGGTGGATAATTCATTGCATATAAGTAAATATGACTTTGTCACATTTATTTATCTGTTACTTAAACTGCAGAAGCAAACACATTTCATGAACCTTTGAATAACTGAGGGGATTTTGTGACCGTACACAACATGCTGTTGAGTAATTCAGACTTCTGTTCGTACAGTTCAAATTTGCAGTAAGCATCATAACCAAAAATCTCTTCAGTATATAATGAGAGCACGAACTTCTGACTTCAGTCTTGGTAGTCGTTTACAGATTGAAGGCATAACGGTGTAGAATTAAATAAAATGGTTATGAGTTGTTCTCCTAATATTGCTATTTTCAAATACCCATGAAAGCTATGACCAAGTACTATTTAGTTAGCATCTAGAACAAGGTCCCCATACCTTTATTAATTTCATGATCGATCGTTCTAGCACGGTCCTATTTCTGAGTCACTTCTGACTTAAATTTTATAGTTTGACTGTGAAAGGCAGCTTCCATTTTAATTCTAGGTGTTTCAGAATTGTGAAGTAAAGTACGTAAATCTTTCTGTTGTTACAGTTGGCTTTTTTGAGAGTGGTGAACATACCTTGGGAGTAGAATCTCTTTGGCCATCAATGGATGAGGTTGCATCATTATATTCCTGCACTTTTGGAAATTGTCAAATTTCTAAATGTTTACCTCTAAGAATGGTGTAAAAGTTAGAATATATCTTTTCAGTTTCAAATTACTAGAAATGTTGTTTCATACTAGAAATGAGAATGTTCTTTGACCATCAAGTTATTCCTGAGTATAGCAATATAGCAATAATGCACTATGCCAATTGATCCCACCAGCCTTTCAGCCACCTTCCTCATATTTTCCAAAATTCATTTTGTGAGACAATTGTATGGAAAATTTGCCACAACACACCTGTTTGCTTGAATTAATAAAATTTCACTTGCAAATTTACTGACTTTACTTTCTCTTTTGCTAGTTGATGGACCTTCAGCTGAACGACAGCAATTTTAGACGGCATATCCTATTACAGTATTTAATATTGTTTCAATACCTGAAAGGTCAAGTCAAATTTAAAAGGTAACTCTTTTTGAAAATCATGAGTGTATAGTTGAGGCACCACTGCATAGTTATTAAGTTTGGTGGTGTATTTGAAAATGTTTGTAAATTCTTCCAAATAAGCTTGTCTGTAGGACAATAAGAAACTCAACATAGCAAAGGCATTAGTCATGGGATGGAGGCTAGGTGAGACAAAAAATGGCATAACCTGTTGGTGAAACTCTATTCTCTGGCATTAATTTCAAAATCCTGCATTTCTGAACAACTTTTTGATGTGTAGAAATGGGTATTTCATCAGTCAGGACATTTCTGGCTGAGATGAATCAGTCTTTTCCTTGAGGGAAATAACTTTAAAGCTTCTTTGTTTAAATAAACATAAGTCTCGTGTAATGCATACCAAAGCTATTCTTAACCAGATTAAATAATTGAATATGAGTTCCCTTGCTGAAAAGTAGAAAAAGCTCTACCTGGACCTTCTTAGAAAATTCCTGAATACTGCCTCTAATTCTCACTATTTTGCTACAACTATGCAAAGTAAGTGTGCAATTAAAGAAAAAAACCCAATTCTGAAAAAAAAGATTTGGCTCTATTTCTTGCTTTATAAAGTATGTAAATGATTGAGACATGTCATCTATGGACTACAAAATGAAGAGTGCGGTGCATCATTCCTCCCCACCCTCTTTGATCATTGTCAAGGCCATGATAAGGCTGAGAGTTTGGTTAATATTTTAGCAACTTTACAAGATGTAACCCAAGCATTTTAGACTGCGTTATGCAATGGGAAATTAAATTAGCCTTACATTAATGAGGAAGATGCCTAGTCATATTACATAGGATGGTGGTGTTGTTCTTAAGCACAGAAACCACAAATAATGAGTAGTAATCAAGCATGTAAATCCCACTGTCTGCAGCTGTTAAAAACCATCATAAATGATGTGTGATCTGGTGTAATTCTGCTTCACAGTTCCTCTTGTGTATTGACTGATGAACAATCTCTCTGGATTGAAGATACCACCAAAGCCGTTTATCAGGTTGGTATGAATGAATTAATTGCTAAGTTGTGCCACAACATTGGTTTTTTTCTCCCTCCCCAAGAAGAGATGTTTTTGTCTGATGAAAATCCACCACATTGTAACTCATAACTTTATCTTTCCTTTGTCTTTTTTCCTGGTTTCAAATCTATATTAATGTCCCATCTCCAAGATTGAAACCTCTGATTAGTACTATGGTTCAGCTCCAATTGTCTCAAAGCAGGCAGTTGGTAGACAGGACTTTGGGTGAACTTGTACCTTTCAGCTGAGCTGGATCTGTGGATTGGGTCTCATATATAATTTGTTACACCCCTACCTCTCATACCTACACCTCACGTTTCCAACCAGGGATTCAGATTGGGTGGTTGAGTGTTGTTGTGGTACAGTAGTATTATACCTACCTTTGGGCTTGGAGGCCCTTATTCAAGCCCCACCTGCTCCATAAGTGTGTAATAACATCTCTGAGCAGGTTGATTAGAAAAATAAGTTTGGATGGTTTCTTCCTTCGGATTTTTAAATGCCAGACTGGTGGCTTCAGTCACATTTTAATTCCGCATCCCTTGTCACCGCTGAAGTGCAATTTAATTATCCGCTAATGTTAGCTATCCACTGAAGTTTCCCATCCTTTAATTATAAAAGCAGTTCCCAGGTCACAGATGGGTTCTATTCCTCAGTCCTAAGTAAGTCAATTTGTACTCGAGTCAGAATATAATATAGTACAATATAAAATATCCATTTGCAAGTATGACTGAACATTTGTGGGTCAGATCCATAAAAGTAATATGGGATCTCGTTCTTAAGTATGAACATTCATGAGCAAGACCCCACCTGTAAGTAGTTCAGGAATCACTGTGTGTTAACCTTGAAATTATTATCAATTAAGTTAACCAATACAACACTTAGACATATTGACTTGTGACAAGTCCTCATTTTACACCAGGTAATTCATGTCCTGAATGTAGTTTTGGAGCTTGGGAAGTTTAGGCAGAGGAGAGGCAGGTAGAAAATGTACTTGCTGGTTTCTCTGTTTTGTATCAATTTAAAACTTTGAAGGTGATCTTGTTTTGGATTTCCAGTTAAATCAAAGTACACTACTCCCTGCAGAATCATACTAAGAAGTCTGTACATCCTACAGCATCACAGATATGTTGCAGCTCAGAAGGAAGCCATTTGGCCCATTGCATCTCTGCTAGTTATTTGAATGAGCATCTGACCTTGTGCTATTCTTCTCCTTTCTCCCTGTTACCCTGCACTTTGGTTTTCAAAGAGCCATCCGATTTCCTTTTGAATGCTTAGTCCACACTTTCAAGCAGTGTTCTCTAGATCTTAACCATTCACTACTTGAAATTTGCTAATTCATTTAAATTTGTGCTGCCTTGTTCTCAGGCCACCTCAATATTTACTCTGTTCAGACCTCTCCTGTTTAGAGGATATCCAAGAATATTTAACCCTTAGTCCTGCCCTTCCTTGAACCAGATCTCAGTTATAGCCACAGTATAGTATTTCCACTTGGCAACCTACAGGTGCAACTCACCAGTCGTGCTTCTAATTTGTGCATGTATATACATGCACAGAAACCCTGATTTCGATTTTATTACTTTCTCTGTTATTCTGACCCAACCTAGTAACTTATTATTCTCTATTTTATATACCTGTGTGTTCCTCCCTGTTATTGTCTCCTAGTTTCCACACCCCTGCTGATTATCTTAAGCCTTTGCCAATAGCAGTGGTCAGACATCCAGCAAGAAACTCAGTCCGATCTCTTTCAGATCCCTACCATCTAGTCTTTATAGGTCCCATCTAACCGAAGAATCTAAAGCCTATACCAGCTTGCCTCCTAGATCAACTTTCCAACCATGCATTCATCTGTCTTATCTTCCTATTTCTGTACTCACTTCTGCATGTTACTTTGAGTGATTCAGAAATTGCTACTTTTTGATACCCCTCCTGCAAGCTCCATATTATCGGAGTACGTATTGGCTTCATTAGATCTAACTAAATATGAAAGTACTTGTAATTACCAATTATTTGTAATTATAAATTTATGAAGACTGTGAAACGTTACAGGCCAGTGTTCCACAAGGGACTGAAGAAGAGTTTCTTTAAACTGAAATTGTCATAGTGATGATGAAAAGGAATGCAAATATAGTGGATTATCCCAACAACAACTGCATTTTTGCATTACAACTTCTGATAATAATATGTGCCAGTGGGGATGGGACCACGAACCTTTTGCAGCTGGGTGTGTGACTTCTGCTAGTCTGTTTATTGTGGACAGTATTAGGCTCTAATGGACAGACCTGACAATACTGAGCTGAACCTTCTCTGATTGTGGGGTTCATCATATTCCGAATAATTTGACACTGGATCAGTTATTAGTTTTAAATGTCCTTGATATATTTTTGGTATTAATGGATTTGATTCACGGTAAATATATAGACATGGATTTCAGATCAACTGTAATTTCATTGAATGGCTGCACAGGCTCAAGGAGGTTAACAGCCTACCCTGTTCTTGTATAACTTGGTCATATAACTATAAAAGCTGGATAAAATTAAGTGTGATGAACCTGTATCAAATTTAAGCTCGACCACACTTGGAGTACTCAATACATTCTGATCACCATATTATTAAGAAAATAGAGACATTGGAGAGATGCAGAGAAGATTTACAAACATCAACCAGAAATATGAGAGAGAAATCACAGAGGGTAACTTAAGTCTTTAAAAGAAAAGTTATGATACAGTGAATACCAAGATAATATTTCCTTTGGTAAGGAAAAGCAAAATTAGAGGTCATCAATATAGTTTGGTAGCGAAGAATTTCTATCAGGAATTCAGAAGAAACTTGTTGAGCCGAAGTGGTGAAAATGTAGAGCGAGCTACCACTGTAAATTTTTGGAATAAATTATGTAAATGAACTTGATGCGAAGTTGTATAAACGTATGATAGAGTAGGAAATAAAAGATTATGGTAGTATGTCACTTGGGCAGAATGGCCTGTTTTGTGTCATGTATCCTTTGGAAAATCATAGAACACTGAGAAAATATGCTGCAGTATTCCGAATTTTGTTGTTCACGAGTTTTCTGAAAAGCTTTTTACTTTGTAAATACCAATGGATATGATTTTTGATTGTTCCCAGGTAGAGTTTGAACTGGACAGCTGATTTAAACATTTAACTAAACTAAATTGCAGTCTGTTCTTGTAAGACTTTGTTTCAAGTTTAGGTTATTTTAATGGAAATGCTATCTTTATCCATATCACATGCGTTAGATTAATCAATTATCATCGAAATCATCAAATTATTTCAACATAAATGTCTTTTTAACAATTTGGTTCCTCATTTACTTTTCTAGTTATTCAAAGAGACGCCACCTGATGGAGAAAAATTTTCCAGTATGGTAGAGGTATGTCGAATTTTTTTTGTTATTGAATTTCTGAATCCAACCTGTCAATTTCAGATTAGAATTAATTGACCACATCAAAACTAAAAATACTTTGAACACACACTTGCTTTCGTGATCAAGATTGCTTTTAGCTATTCTTTTGTTTCTCACTTTGACCCTTCTTCGTTCCTTACCTTGTCCAAGGACACTGAGGCCAATTGTAATTCTGTAGCAAAAGTCAACTAACAGCACACAACCTTAGGAAGGATACATTGACTCTGAAGGAAGTACAATGTAGGTTTACAGGAATGATGTATGGACTTAAGGGGTTATACTAGGAAGACAGTTTATCCAAATTAGGCCTGTTTTCTCTAAAATTTGGAAAGTTATGGGGTGTTCTGATCCAAGTCTTCAAGGTATTAACAGGAAGAGATAGGGTAGATGAAGATAAACTATTTCCATTGTTTGGGGATTTTAGAACTAGGGGACAGTCTGAAATTAGGACCAGACTGTTCAGAAGAGATGTTAGGAAACAATGTTACACGCAAAGGAATTTAAGATTTGGAATTCTCTTCCACAAATAGCAGTTGATGCTAGACCAGTTGTTAGACTTAAATCTGAGATAGATAATTTTTTTGTTAAGGAAAGGTATTTAGGGCTATGGATCAAAGGTAAGCATATGAAGTTAGGCCACAAATCTGCCATGATATCATTGAATGGTGTAACAGGCTTGAGGGGCTAAATGGCCTACTCCTGTTCTTATGTACAAACTGAATGTGAGACCTCTTCAATTTATTCTCTGGATTGGTCTGTGACTAGTGAGGCTAGCAATTATAGACCATATTTGCCCCTACAAAGATGGTGGGCATTCTTCTTGAACGACTGCAGGCCATCTGGTGAAACTGCTCCCCAGTCGCTGTTAATTTGGGAATTTCAGGATTTTGATGCAAATAGTATGTAATGGGGCAGTGATGGACTAGAGGGTTTGAGTTATAGGGTTCAGGCTAGATAGGCTGGAACGTTCTTCCCCTAGAGCACAGAAGGTTGAGGAGTGACCTAATAGAGGTTTACAAATCATCAAGGGGCATAGATAAGGTGAATAGCCAAGGTCTATTCCCCAGGGTAGCAGAGTTCAAAACTAGAGAACATAGGTTTAAGCTGAGAGGAAAGATTTAAAAAGGACCCGAGGAGCAACTTTTTCCACACAAAAGGTGGTGCTTGTATGAATGAACTGCTAGAGCAAGTTGTAGAGTTGGGTACAATTACAACATTTAACATACATTAGGTGCATGAAATAGGGAAGGCTTAGAAGGATATGGGTCAAACGAAAGTGAAGGGGACTAGTTTGAGCAACCTGGTTGGCATGGACGCATCGGACCAAAGGGTCTTTTTCTGTGTTATATGACTCTATATACAACCTGGTTGGAAAGAACTGTAATTTGGACAAGATTTTTTTCAATTTCTATATGGCTTATTAATTTATTAATTGCGTTTACTCACTAAATCATTGCAAACTTTTGTAAATGCTTCATATTTATGAAGAGGTGAAAGCAAATTGATTTGTTTTAACATGAAATAAGAATTAATTCACTTTTATTTGATTATAGCATATACTACACAGTGAAGAAAATTGGATTGCATGGAAAAATGAGGGTTGTCCAAGTTTTGTTAAAGAAAGGTATATCTTTTAAAACTTAATATCATTTTTAACATTCTTTTTTCTTCAACCATATATACTTTTATATGCTTTTAAGGGCAAATAGGTATCCTGTTGTGTGTCCAGTGTGACTCACTTTCTTAATATTCCATGGCATAACAGGTAAACTAATATCCCATGCCATCTGGCTTGTCAGATTACTTCTATTTTATTCTTACAAGATTGCAATTTGTCTTGTCATGAAGATTTGATTTGAATTGAAAAAATTTCAAGCAGGCAATTCTTATCAAATAATGCAGCACAAATTAAGTAACTGATATTTTCTGGTTTCGTGTAAGGTTGCATTCATATTATGTTGAGAAAATTAAATTGATATCATGTAAACCAAGAGCTATGTGATTTTCTGACTTGTTCATTGATGGATTGCAGTGTTTAATCATATCTCAAAAATGGAAGTCTGGAAAGTTGCTATGGGATTGCAAGTGTTCGTTCTTTTTCTCGCTTCCTCGAACACCACTGCACAAACTACACACGTACTGTACGCACATGCACACTCCCACCACACGTGTGCGTGCACACATTCCCAAAATGTACATGCACAAGCACAGTCCAACCATATTTGTGCACAAACACACGTTTTATCCCACTGGACATGTACAGGCACATGCATGGATTCTCCTGTCAGAGGTGTGCACACATGTACACATGTGCTCTGACTCTCATTATATACTTGCACGAGCATGTGTATACGCACACATTCTTCCACCAGTCACCTACACGCCAATGCATGCATGCAGTCACTCCCACTAGGCTCATATATACACACAAACACAAGGCATATGGAAGTACGCTCACACCAGGTGCATGCATACACCCACATCCACCATGCCTGTGTATGCATACTCACCAGACTCTTGCATGCATGTGCACTCACACAAATACTCTCTCACTATACATATACACACATACAACCCCACCAAGCATGTGCACACATACCCCACGCCGCACACCTACCCCACGCCACACATGTAATCTCTCATTCTGCAACCACGCTTGCATGCTCACATGCAGTCCCAACACCCATGTGTGTAAGTGTGCAAACATACATGTACAAGCGCACAGACTCACCGTGTGCATGCCTGCATGTACACTCGCTCTCATCACATACTTTGAGGGTGCATTGTTTCCCCCACCCCATACATGAGGCATGTGGAAGCATGTGTGCACACGGGGAGGGACACACATGGAACGTACATGTGCACCGAAGTACAGATATACACTCACTAAGCATACATAGACACATGCTATCCTTCTCACGTGCATGTACAACACCCATATATTCTCAGATGTGCATGCATTCATTCTCACGAGGCTCATACACTTACACACCAGGTATGTGCAAACACGCATACTGTCATGAGGCACGTGCATGCAGCCACCCACATGGAAGCGGGGGGCGGCACAGACTGACACACAATATGTGCATGAACGTGTAAATGTGCTCATTCTCACCAAATTTGGCATATACACATAGGTGCACATGTGTGCACTCCCACCAGGTGCATGAACGAGGACGCACACATTCAGTGTTTGCATATGCAAACATGTACTCTTATCCCATGTACATACGCAATCAAAACAGTGAATGCAATTATACTGTCCGACCACGTGCACTTGCAGACATTACCCCACCATGCACATACGCATGCACACTTCCACCACATGTGCACACTCCCACACATTAAATGTGTGTGCATGTCGGGCATGTACAGACATGCAAACATATGTGCATCAGGCTCATGCACGTGCATACTCTGTCACTGGCATGTACTGACACACAGTTCTCTACACACCATGCATGTGTGCACACACCACCCTCCCCCCGCGTAAATTAGGTGCACACACACACGTATAAATCCAATTATATATGTACATGCACTCGTGTGCAGGTCTCTGCATGTGCTACCCCCTGCCCACCAGGCTCATGCAAGCAAGCACTTTCCCTTTGCCGTACTGTGCTTCCCCTACATCGTGCGTCTCCCCCTCACTCTCTCCCCCCTTCCCCTACATGCACACACCACCACAACCATCAGGTCCCGGCGCATGCCTCCTTCCTGCCCATCAGACCTCTGTGCGTGCTTTCCTCGACCAAAAGGCCCCTCCACACCTCTGTCCATCAGGCCTGTACACTTGCATACCCAACCCTTCCTTCCACAACCAGACACCACACCCACCGGGCACTTGCGCACACATCAGGCACACATAATTTGCACACACATCACATCTCTCACACTCACATTATACACAGTCACCATATTCTACACATACACATTTCTGTCATGTACATATCACACACAGGCATGACACTTAAGCGAGCTGCGTGCACCATTATCTCTCACAACACAGCTTTCTCTCTCACGCTGTATATCTCATTCGTTCACACTGCATTACACACATTGACACCAGATCGATCCTTCTCTCTGTCGTATATTTGCACAATAAATTGATCTCTCTCGTTCACTCACCAGGTCTCCTGCTTGCACACCACAGTAGAGACACTGTCTTAGTGTGAGGTGTTTCAGCAGGTGGCCTCACAACAGACGTGCACATGCATGCATGCATTGGTATTACACCAGGTCTTGAGTGCGCACTGCATATTTGTCTGCCGACCTATCTCTCTCTCTCACACCACATCTCCCTATCCCAACACATCACACACACCATCCCACACATGCATATGTCGTGAGTGCACACTGCATGTACTGCAAATCACAACACACACTCAGCATGCAGGTGCACATGCACATTACATACAAACACACCACATGCAAATGCATCACATTTCATGCACACATTATATACATGTATTCATACACCGTGCACATACATCTCACATAGATCAGTTATACATGCATATGAACTACATCACCCACCACTCTCACCACAAGCAATCTCACACAGCCACATCTGTCTGATACCACGTTGTGCACCACACCAAATCACTTCACATCACTCTCACACGCATCTCATCACACATCTCCCACCACATATGCACATACTACACACATCATATGCACACAGTGTACTTGTCACACCAGATCTCTCCCATACACCACATCTCTCATACACCATGCACACCACAACATGTACGTGGCAGGTGTAGTTACCCCCACCCAATCCCTTGGCACGTGTGTGAACCCCCACCTCTGCATGCACTGTCACACTAAAAAGTATAAATTCTGTTGGATAGTCAATTATATTTGTTTTTTAAAGATCACTTGAATCCAAACTTCCAAAGCCTGCAAAAAAACGACCTGCTCCTGAGGATTTCTTTGGAAGAGGACCAGGCAAGAAGGTTTTAATGGGAAAGTAAGACTTTGACTTTACCTTTTAGCTCCTTCCTTTTCTTGCAGTTTTGATACTCAAATTTCTCTGATGTTTAATTTTAGTCACAATCCTTAAAAAGGGCTTCACAGAGGTTACAGTTTGATGGTCATCTCCGAGCAGTCTCCCAAAGATGGATGTTCAAGGAAAGCAGTAGTTTATTTTTTAACTTCTTGATTACATCTTGGATCCCTCAGTGATGAAAGACACTGTTAATATACTAAGCAAATCAAATGATATATAGTAATACACCTTAAAAAAAAAATTCCTGCCTCTTTCAATAAATTACCTTTAAAATATTTTGAATACTTTTTGTGTCCAGTAGACAGAGGGCTTTGAGTAATGGTGCACTTGTGTCACTTGTACTAGAAGCTACGTACGCTAAGAACAGGAACTCTGTTCTTTGCGGACAGAAAGAAATTACGCTCACTTTGCACCTGTTTCAACTCAAGAAAATAGAAGACGACACTTCCTGGCTCACTTCTCAAGGCAGTGATTTGACTAATTGAAGTCAGGTTTTAAGTTTAAATAAAACTTGGCGGTTAACTGTTTGGCATTGTCTAACTCGTGCTGTTTTCTTGTATAGTATCAATATGCTGTTTGGTACTAGTAATAGCGGTTGGGACTCCAGTTTATCCATTTTTAGCATTCAGACTATTACAGTATGGATGCAAAGCCAATCTGTCTGGCCCAATAGCTTCTCTGCTCGACTGGTGCTCCACTGTCCATACCAGATACTGCAATAGTTTCTCTGAAGTAGAAAGTCAGATAGTGCTAAAAAAGATCTTTTAGTGCTTTCAGTTGTGTACGTTCAGGATTGATTTAAATGTGCCAAACACACTTAATGTAGGACTTTTGATCGCTGACAGACTAAGATCTTCAAAACTTCATGACCTTCCAAACTGGACTTGGCATAGGTTCAAATGACCGATAAATAGTTGATGGCTTTCTGTACCATACAATCTGCTTCTTGAAATTTCTAAAATATCCATAATTTTGAATAGTGTGACTATAATTCTTCAGTGCTGTCCTGCAAGAATAAATTTAATTTTGCTGTTTTAAAGACCGTTTTTTAAAAAAATGGAGTTAAGTAATGTCAAGTCTAGAGTAATGCTCATGCCTTATTCAAGACTTTTATACCCTCCAGGTTTTACACATGTATCAACAAAATTCACATGTTTTGCATCTAGCTACCTGCATAATCTGTGACAGTTTGATCAGCTAAGTGCATTTATAATACTAGTTTAAAGAATTGATCTAATTTAGTGGTACTGAAACTTACAAAGTTAAGGCAGGTTTGTGCAAATCATTGCATTTGTCATACTGCATATAACTAAAATGGTTTTTGGCTTCCTGCAGTGAAGAATTGACACGGCTTTGGAATCTCTGCCCTGATAACATGGAAGCCTGTAAGTCTGAAAGCAGGTAAGAGATGCGTCTTGACATTGAGTCTTTATTGAAGGATCTAAAAATTTGACTATATTTAAATCAATCACAGTTTCTGCCTTAGTGTAAAGTTTGGAAGCAACCTGTATATTTGTAGATCAGTAATAAAGGTATTAATGCATTTATGTATTGCCACATGAAGCACTGGAAATCTGTCCTGAATTTGAAGTTTCCTGCTGAATGAATGTCCAATTCCAACTGGAAAATGTGAAAGATCAAAAAAAAATTACTTCTTACTAAAGATAATGTTATAGGTTGAACAAGACTATTGATATTGTTCCTTGGTGCATGCCTGCTTTTGAAATTAACATTATCTCAATGTGTTAGGATCACATTCTATCCATCCTTGTAGTCATAATTTGACCTTAAAGATCTAATTTAAGAAATATTTGGTTGAAAATGATAAACTAGTTTTTGAAAGAGGAAGCAACTTCGTCATGAGCTCCACAGAATTATATGCCTTTGGCTATAAAAAGCTACTTCATGAATTATCTGGCTTCGTGTTGAGAATGTACACTCTAATTTTTCCAAATTGATCCCTATGTATCTCACTCCGCAGCATATCCATCACTACCACCATGTTTTTCATCCCTGACTGTATTTTCTAATTTTAATAAAGTAAATCTTTGCACTTTATTGCCTACTCATGACAACCGTGAGCTCTCTGTGGAGCTCCAACACCTGGACCTTGTTGGTAGATGAGAACTATCAAATGACCTGCAAATGTCTACATTGTTGCGATTTAACAATGCTAACTCTACATTTGGTAGGTTAGCAGAAAAATGGTCACTGGGTTCAAACATCAAGTATTTTCCTTGATACTGTTATGTTTTGCAAATGGCTATTCTGCATTACACTGCCACATTATCTTTATTTGATGTGATTTTTGTGCTTTGCAGAGAGTTTATGCCCACTTTGGAAGAGTTTTTTGAAGAAGCTATTGAGCAAGCTGATCCAGAAAACATGGTTGAAGAAGAGTACAAGTAAGTTGCTGTGATTTCACAAACTTAGAGGTGTAATTCTGTTAACATTCTTTCAAAGTACTATCATAATCTGTTCGTATTCTGACATCACTTCTTGCTTCACAGAGTGGTTAACAATTCCAATTATGGCTGGAGGGCCTTGAGGCTGCTAGCACGACGAAGCCCACACTTCTTTCAACCAACTAATCAGCAGTTCAAAAGCTTGCCTGAGTACCTAGACAACATGGTTATCAAATTGGCCAAGGAACTACCTGTGAGTGTCTTGTCTGCTTTGTGTTCATGAAGCATAAAAGTGCAGTGCCATCTTATGAACTCTCTAGTGTATGATATCCTGACTCACCAAACCTCTGAATGCTTAGTTGTATTAAAACAGGCAGAGTTTAGTAAATAACTCAAAGGCAAACATAAGCCCACTACATCTCAATCATCTGGTTCAGCACAGTTTGTAGGAAAAATCAACTGACTTTAATTTGAAACCTATAACAAAAATGTCCCAAAGATTTTCACAAACCAAGCCATGAAATCTAGCAAGAAGGATTAGAAGAGGCAGCAAAAGCTAAATTGAAAAGAGAATTCGAGGATGTGCTAAAACTTTAAGGCAGAGGAGTCTTCAAAGAATATTCCAATGTGTTCAAAATCGCTCAAAACACTGCAGAAAAGAATACAAATGGGATTAGAATTGGAAGAGGAGGTGCAGCCAAGAGCATTATTTTTTAATTTGTCCTTTCAATTTGAGCATTCTGGCAGGGCAGCCATTCATTACCAATCCCTAATTGTCCTTGCAAAGGTGGCAGTGGGACATCTTCTCGAACTTGCAATGTAGCGTAGGTGCACCCACAGTGTTCCTTTAGTGATTTTATACAAACAAATAGCTGGCTGCCATTTCAGAGGTACAGATCTGGATTTGGAGTCACATGTAGACTGGCTTCTGTAGACCTTTTAAGGATGATCAAATCATCTAAAAGTTATTTGTGACCTACAATCCAGAGGTTTCATCATCATAATTAAAGCAATTCACATTCTGTTCCAGATTTTTAAATGGAATTCGTGCTGCCACGGTATAATTTGAACTCATGTTTACAAAGCCCATGACATGGACTGCAGCAATTCAAGAAGGCAGATCAGCTTTTCAAAGGAAATTAGACATGCCCAGTCAGCAATGCCCACAATGTCGCGAAAGAATTAGTGTGGTCCTCTGAATTACACGTTCTGTAATATTACCACCAGGCAGCCTTTCCCAGAAGTGTAAATGTAATTGTTGAAGTTTGGAAGGAGCAAGGTAAAGAATAGATTTAGAATATCCAATAGAATACCCAAAAATGTGGAAATTATTGCACAGGTGGGTGGAAACTCAAATGAAGTTTGGGAAATGTAGGAATCTAGACACTTTTTAATAGTCTATGCAGCTAAAATTATTTTTGATGAGTTGTGTATTGTAAAGAATAGCACTCAGGACTTTGGCAAGAAGCTAGTAACATTAGGGAGGTGAAATTTTATAGTCTTCATGGTGACAATAATGTGCAGTTTGAAAAATCTAAAAGGAAGTTGATGGTTACAGGGGCAGGCAGCAAAATGGAATTGAAGCCATGATCAGATCAGCCATAATTTTATTGGGCAGAGAAGACGAGAATGGCATCAGAACAGATTAAATTGCGTATTGCCATTCAACATGTAAATGTTGGCCCTGTGCTTATGAATAATATTCTCAAGGCACAGAATACTGACAGGAAAGGAACAGTGAGTGTTATCTTTTGGAACTAAACTTGCAAAGGATATGACCACCTCAGAGGATGTTCTGGCTGTGTAAATGCAGGTGGGTGTGAAACCATGCTATGCACCAATGCAAAGAAAGGAGTAGTATTTAAACGTCACAGGAAGGTCAAAACTGGCTAGTTAGTAAAGCGCATGATCACAGTGAAAAAGGATGAATCAGCATTTATTAAACTCTCCCCCCCCCCCCCCCCCAAAATGGTCACAACAAGTATTTTTTGTTTTGAGTGTGGAGCTATCAATTTAGCAGCGCAGGCGTCACGATAAAAGTGCACAGTTTCAAAGTCCTTATAGTTTTTGAGGTGTTTGAGTTTTAACCGGAGACTTGTATCCTCAACAATGGCAAAATTTGAAGATACCTTTGTATTTTCAATATATGGTTGTTTCCCAACCATTTTTCACTAAGTATTGTCTTCTGACGTGCTGAGTGTAGCAAGGAGGGAGGGAGGGGAGGGGGATTTTGAGTTCTTGTGCTATTAATCCATAGTTCTTTCTCTTTTTTTGTTCAAAGGCAACTGCTATAATAGCGTTCGTTTTACCCAAATCTGGTCCCATTGTTTCTCAAAGCTGTGTTTTCTGTAGACAGCATTTCATGTCCAGTGTATGTCCCTTATCAGGTATATGCAAATTGAAAAAAGAGGTGTCAATTTCTTGAAGCCTGACTTTAGTGGCTGTTTAAATAAAATGGTAATTGTAGTTCAGACAGTTTTGTTTATTCTATATTGGCTTCCTGAACTTATCTCAGTCCATGGCAAAGTGATCACAGCGGCCACTTTAGGTCAATATTTGGCATTTTAGTTCACAATAGGTCCCAGTATTGAAAATTGACAGGTGATACAGACAAGATGGAACTCAGATTGAAAGAATTCAGAGGTATTGATAGGATGCTTTGAAATAGAACTAGATGTCAGTGATGTGTTCAGTGAATTTAAAAGGGTATTTTAAGAATGAAAGATGAAGAAAAGTTTTTGAGATAAATGTTTAATGATGGTGAGCTGGGTGAACAGAGAGTGAAGTTACTCAGTGATGGAGATTGCAGTGATGAGTTGAGTCAAAAAAGAGTAAAATGGTGTAACATGATCTCATTATGAGCGTGGAGGCAATGAGGGAGAAAGAAGTAATGGAGAGTGGAAGCAAAGGTATGGAGATGGTTGTTGGATGGAACAAAGTGGAGAAGACAACTGAGGAATTGTGTATGGTTGCAATATTGGACAGACAAAATGTCCTGCGTGATCCTGAATTTCTTGTTCTTGAAAGGAACAGAGTCAAAGAAGGACATCTTTAAGAAAAGAAATGTGGTGCTTTTATCCTTCAGAATAATCCTGGAGTAGTGGGAAAATTTGAAAAAAAAACATATCGTGAAATTAATTGAGATCTTGCCTGCTGCAACTCTAGTACTAGCTTTGGAGCAAATTAGAAAAAAAAGGAGATATGAAGTTTAGATTGTGGACTAAAAGAGTCTAACAGAATTAACCTTAGTGTAATGATCCTCATAGAGATTATTAACATTGAAGAGAAATTCAAAAATCCCCATTATTTACTGGGAGAATGAAGCAATTGGATTGCACAGTTTAAACATGATATTACTGTACAGGAGTCAAACGCTACTAACTAAACTAATTTGGGTTGTAAATTATTCAAAATAGCCCCTTTGATTCTGGAACCCATAGGTAATTTATGTTTCTAATAGCATTAATGGTTGTCTCCCAAGATTCCCTGGTTTCACAGTTAAACTCACTTGCTTAAAAGGGTGCTGTTAATTTCTTTGGAAACTAAATAAATAATCTACATCTCATTTCAATAGCTATAAACATTCTGTCCTTTCAAAAGCTTAAAAATGGGCCATTTGTTGTTTAAGTTATTTCCCATTTAATTCTAATCTTATTAAATAGACACTTTACATATCCCAGGTTTATTTGAATATCACCTAGTTTATGGTTGATTATCAAGTTTCTCATTCAGATGTTTCAATTTACTTATTTTTATTACTATCCAACCTAAGAACCCCTAAAATATACAGATTATGGAATAAAATAGTCTCAAGAGCAGCAACATCCTTATTATTTCTGATGTCGCTTATGCATCTGAAATTACTATAACAACTCCTCTGAAGTTTATGCATGGTCCCTCTCCCCACTGTCCAACAGCTCTGTGTCACTTTTCACAAAATTCTATTTTCTTGGCAATGATGATAGGGCAGGACGTCTTTGAGTACATATTGTTTCCCATTCATAACTACAGAATTTTCCTTCTCCTTGACAGTTTCTTTTTGGGTAAGCAGGGCTGTAGGTAATTTTGACAGATTCAGATCATACCATTTTAGAATATCTCATTTTCTTTTTCGAACGTCATTTCAAATGCAGTTTCTAGTCCACAGAAAATGCAAAACTCTACACTCATTATGGGTATTGATTTTCTTCTAGCCTTATGTGAAATCTAAGTACTCCAGTTTTATTTTCTTTCTTAAAATTTAAACTCTGGGCATGTGACTGTCATGGTTGCAATTAGCTAGGTATGATAACAAGATATAATAGTTAATCTCACTAATAAAGGGATCTTTAGCTGTAAGATCATTAGTCACTTCTGTGAATCCTTGCAGCCTCCGTCTGAAGAGATAAAGACAGCAGAGGATGAAGATGAGGAAGAAGACAATGATGATGCATTGCTAAAGGAAAGCAATGAAAGTAAGTCTGAAATGCAGCTTTTATGTGAAGTATATTGAAGATTCTTTGCTGCCTAACAATAACTGCCTGATTTCTCAACAATGACAACAGATCTGTGACCTAATGATATGATCTTCAACCTTCACTTTCTCCCAATCCACCCAGCACAGTTCCTCCACAAAGGAAAAGGCAAGAGAAGTCTTTTTTTTTTGTATTTGCCAACCAAAGTTGGTAGCATTCAACAAAGGAATGGAAGGGTGGTATTCAAAGACCAGAATAATCAGAGCTTTAATGGAAATTTCCAACCTCAACCGCTTGTTCTTAGAGAGCATTCAGTTTGGTTATTTAAATGTAAATATTGATTTCTTAGTAGCCACTAACTGCTTGGAGGATACTATTAGCAAAAATTTGTCACTGCATGATGACAAATGTTAGGTATTCTGCCACTGGCTGAAAAATACATGGGAACCTAAATTTGAGTGATTTGTAAATGTTACTTGTCTCAGTAAACCCCAGGGCAACTACTGAATTGTGGAAAATTCGCCATTGAAATTGATCAATGGGAAAATTGTTGCCATTGACAAGTCTCACTAGAGCCTGCTGTGTAGTACAGGCAAAAAAATACTGGCAGAGTTTGAAAATACATTTCTATAATCTGTTTTCTGTGTATTAGTGACTGCTCTGGGCTCTGCTGGGATAAAAATAAACTAAACGTGCAAATCTCTATGTTGAACAGTTATAGGGATTTCTTTCTTTGACAGGCTCCCTATAAGATAAAAATATGTGAACTGGCTGCTATTTTGTCTTCTGTTATGCCACAGATAAAAGGCATTGTAGCATTGGCACCAAATTCAGAATCATTGTTGCTCTTAACTATTGTTTCATGTTTGTTCTGGATTGGGACCGATGTTCTGGTGGTTTCAGATCAAATTCTACCATGAAAAATACGGAAAGTGGTTTGATGTTTTACAAGCATTGGTCTATTTGAAACCTGTAGATTTGATACATGCCTAGCATTATGATAACAGCACATATCCATACACAGCAATGATGAGCCTTGAGGAAGGGAGTAGCAGCTTGATAAATCTTATTTACACGGATTCATTCAAAAATCACATTGAAGGCTAGGAAGCTTTAGCAAAATCCACGACATTCATTCTTGAAATAGCAAATGTAACAGAAACAGATTTTCCTCTTCTGTTTAATAAGAACTATAAAAATATAGTATGAAATCTTAATTTTTTTAAGAAAACCTCCAATGTTGACGTTTCTAGTTTCCCATGTATTTCAGCCAACAACAGCAGGCTACCTGACATCATCGTCTGGTGACAAATGGCTGCTAACGACCTCTCCCAAGCAGTTAATGGTTGCTATCAGGTAGGTAGAAGTATCCACTTTGAAGGCACTTTTACATTGTTAGATGGGGGTCCCAGGAAACTGCATTCAAATGGAGACTGTGACCTTCATGTGCCACATTGCCCTATTTATTTAGAACCCATTAGAAGCTGAACACTAGCAATTCCTGCAGGTAAATGGGTGGGAATCTTGCTTCATGTCTTTAATTGCAAGGAAAGACTTGATGGCATTTCCTAAGTTTCATTAAAGTTTAGATTTCTGGTATCATCGTATATCCCAAAGTTGGTTCCTTTATATTAATGAGTGCAGTAGAAGGCAGGAGTAGTACTGTAGCTGGTTTCTTTGAGTGTAATTGACATTGAATCTGATATAGATTAAATGTTTAAACATGAATTGTTTCTATGGCTACAGTATGCTGTCAGGAGTTATACTTCATAAATGAAGTACAAACTGTAAACATTTAGTTCACTTTTTATGCTAATGCATTTAACCGCAAAATGAAAAATTTCCAATGTAGTTTCATCCACCCAAATCCCAGCCATTCTAAAACAGTAGTGCCAACTTTGTGCTGTATTATCTAAAGGACTCCTCAATGTGAATAATTGCTTGGTAATACAGAATTTAAACATTGTTAAAAGGAGACGCGAAGTTGAAGCTTTTCTCTCATCTTGCATTTATCAGAATTACAATACCAAGAAACGGAGTTGAATAAAGGGACACCGTTTTATACAGCATGAGAAGAGGATGCTGATTGGTTGGCCTGTCATTGGTATGGATATACAGCAAGAACAGTTAACTGTCAGTCTTAATTCTCGGACTGGGCAGGTACATTCTGATTGGTCATGGTGTTGCCGCGGGATGCAGCAGAGATTGGCTGTCTCGAAGGCCCCCTTTTATTTAAAGGTGCAATGCATGTACAAACTCCTTTTGCCTGCGTGATACAGGTTTCTGTGTCCTTTATAGCTTTAGCATGTATTAGTGTATCACACTGTGAGTCAGCTGATGACCTTAAGTTAGTTTCCTGTGTAATCTTTAGCGCAGTGTGAATTATTGAATAAATGATTTCCAATAGCAGAATCATATCTAATGGTGGATATACTTTTCTGAGGCTTGTAAGCATGTGTTGGTTGAGTATGCTGCCCACTGCGAATGGTCAACAGGACATGTTATTTGGTAAGGTCAGCCTGTCATACTTGGCGTATTGGAACTCTTTGTCACGTTATTCATCTGTGTGGCAAATAAACATCCTTTTGGCTTAACGGCAGCATCCTGTTAGTGGAGAAAACCACTCTTGCAATTATTGCATAGTAACAGTGAGAGATGGCTCGCTTTAATTGTTGTTCAGATTTTTGATTCATCTTTCCCTTCCAGCATAATCTGAGGTAGACTGGGCGTTACGCAGGGCCAAAAGTAGTGGGTGTAGGCACTTTCTTGAGTTAATGTTATATGTGAGTGATGATTTGATCAGGGTGTCAGTATTTGTGCAGGATAGTTTTGAGATGTCCTGCGGCAGTGGCGTGCAGATGGTTAGGATCTATTCATGATGTTGCCAATAATATTGACGTGATAATGCATGGAACTGTAGCAATCCCAATGTGCATGTTGGCCAGTAAATGTAGGTTTTTGGAAGGTAGTAGTTTACAACCTGTTGTGAGAAATCTCCACTGATACATTGAAAAAAGAGAACCTATTTGATTGCTCCATTTCAATGGTAAATTTGAGTGCAGAATGGATTGTCTCAAGCTGTTTTAAAAAAAAAAATTCTTTGCAGCTGTAGATTCAAATAACACAAATGTGTTATCTATACATTAGAAATAGGCAAGGGATAAGGGGTTAGCGGTCTTTCCATGGAAGATGTACTTCTCATTGTAACCAACAAAGATATTAGCAAAGGTTTGGCCTTCTGTTTGGGGATATACAGAATCATTGAAACTGAACTCAACTGCTCAAATTGCTAAGGTTGAGTTAGATAAACACAGATTCAGACACAAGTGGCATATCTAGATTGCCAAAATACAGTGACAGTCCAAATGTCAATGGCTTCTTTGAGTGCTATGTTGACAAATAAGATAGCAATATTGAAAGACCAATCAGAATATACGTGCCTGGTCTGAAAATTAAGAATAACATGTAATGCTTAAACAATCAGCACCGTCTTGTTCAAGTCTGTTTCTTACATCATTCTGATGAGTGCAAGACGAAAAAGTTCAAATACCTACCTCCTTTTAGCGATGATTACAGCCATCAATATAACTGTCAAGAGTGAATTTCCCTGGGTAACCTTCTACCAGGATCACAGATTGGTGTTGTAAAAAAAAAGAGGATCAGAGACTAAGTACATGATCGAAAGCTTGTTTGAAGAGATGGGTTTTGGAGGAATACCTCAATTGTGCTCCACTTTTGTGTCTAGGGTTAGGGAAGGAATTTCACAATAGTGCTGAGACAGCTGAAGGTTTTGTCACCAGTGGGGAGGTGAAGATAGAGCAGAATTGTGACAAAGACATTGCAAAAATAGATTGTAGATTTTGAAGTTCAGCTTAAAGAGGAATAGGATGCCAGTGGTATGTTCTGTCAGAGTAAGTAATAAGGGAATGGAGTTTCTGGCTGGAACTGGAGACATTGGGGGTTTGATGTTAGTGATAGGAAACGGGGAAATTTGTGACATTTCTGAGGGCATGCACCTCATTTCCTAGTGCAGCAGCACTTGATTGAAACAAGCAGTTTTGATACAGCTAGAGTTCCTCATTATCAATATACGTGGGAAAGCTGACCCCTGTGTATGATGACACTGAAAGGAAGTATGTATAAAATGAAGAGGTGGTGTTAAGATGGATGTGAAAGTGATTATATGCTGTAGGAGAAGAATGCCATTGCTGAAGATGTACTCGCTGTTTTCAGGTAAGAAGGAACGGCACCATGTCCTGCAAATGCATGGATCTCGCTGAGAGCATGGTGAAGCAAATGGAGGACTGAGGAGGACGGCAGCCCAAACTCTATTAAATGTGCAGAAACAAGATAATGTTTCACGATCATTGAAGATATAATTTGTAATTTTGTTTAACCCAAAACTATCATCAAGATTCAAAGACTTATGTGAGATGTGGAACACACTGGAAGGCAACAATGTGAGAACCATGGAAAGGAAGAGGCAGTCTGAGATTGTGTGGTAGTTGTGAAAAATGTTTGGATTGAGTTGGATTTTTTGGGAAGTGGAAGTAATTTGGGTTTTACAGAGGAGAGTGCCTGAGGAAATTATCTCACTGATATATGCTGACATGGGAAAGAACAAGTTTTGAGTTGATAGGGAAAAGAGGGTTAGTATGGCAGTGATAATCTTGGTGAGTACATATGACAAAGTTAGAAAGAAACTGGTTTGATGTCAAGAGCAGAGACGATAGTTCCATGCATTCTGTCCAAGATTGAGATCTGTCTTGAGATTGGAGTGTGGACAACAGTAGGAAGGCTGAAGGAGGCAACTAATCTGAGGATGCAGAATAATTGATTCTGAACTTGTTGGTGGTTTTGGCTTTGGAATTTAACACTGACAAATCCTATCTGTTGTTTAATGACTGAACTAATAATGAGTTGGATAATCATAATTTTGCACACTTCTGACTACAAAAAGGAAAACTGCATTACATCCAAGTGAGACAGGGCTAGGAAACTCATTTATTGAGGGCGTCAGTGGCAGCAAAATATAGCAATGGAAGGGAACGCAAAGGCAAGAGAACATAGTTAATATGTATTTGGCATCAGTCTTGAGTTACTGATAGCACACCCAGTTCAGGTCTTAAATATGTAATCGAAGCTGGCATTTCACTGTAGGGTTGAGGGAGTGGTCCACTGTCGGAAGTGACACTTTCTTGATGGAATCTTAAATTATGGCCCCACCTGTTCTCTCAAGTGGATGCTAAAGATCCCAAGGCACTAAACAAAATGCAGGCAAGTTTTCTTGGTGTCTTCATGAATAACTTATCCTTTAATCACCGTCACAAATATTAATCTGGTCCCTTATGTGTTTGGTGGGCCTTGTATTCAAATTGGCTGCTGTATTTCCCCATAGTGCAACAGATTACTACATTTTATTGGTTATGAAGTATTTGGGACATTCTGAAGTTACATAAGGTGCTATTTAAATGCAAGTTCACTTTTACTTTGAGTGGGAGGAGAATTTTTATCCTGACTGGATGGTGATTTTGTAGGTTGTAGGGAAGTTTTCAGGGTGTTCAAAAAGGAGGTGGTCAGTAGCCAAGATCTAGATACAGAGAGGTTATGAAAGCTGATGAGGATGTGCTGAGGACATAGTATGTCTTGCTGCTAGTTCTTGTCTTATTATCCTCCTTAGCTTGATGTTCAGACCAGCACATGGCTTTCATCATTGCCAACCTTTGTTATATCTACTGATAGAGAAAAGCCTCTTAGTCAAATTAAGAGTAATAGATTTAAGAAACATTCAACTACCAGTTGCTGAGATGCAGCGATAGATGTAATATTAGAATAATTTATAACTGTGTTAATCACTTTAGTGAATCTTTTTATTATGTTAATATGTACCACGTCAGTTATGAAATACATAAGGACAGTGGACTGACTGTCATCCTGGCTACCACCTCACTATCTGTTACTTTGCAGATGCTGGAAATCCAGTGAAAATAGAAAATGCTGGAGATACTCAGCAGTTCAGGCAGCGTTTGTACAGAGACAAATGGTTAACTTGTCAGACCACTGATCTTTCATCAGATTTTCTATTTTTATCTAAGATTCAGTGTTGTCTGATGTGCTACCATGATACGTGTCACAGCTTCATCTTGTGTTGCTAGCGAATTATAGCACATGATTTTGTATTTGAGTTTCCATTCCAGCAACACCAGCTGACAGGAAGTGTTTAACAAAAAAGGTGCCTGGGCAACTCATGATGTACATTTTAGCAATAAATTTTAAAGGAGCATTAGTGGAGACCAAGCTTGTTGCCACAAGTTCTGTCTTCCAGTTTTGATTGTGGTGTGATATTAAACTGCTATTGCCTTTATTCAAAACCATTCACTAAACAAATTCTTTCTGAAATCAAATCAAGAATTGTGGATGCTGGAAATATGAAGCAAAAGCAAAAATTGCTGGGTAAACGCAGCAGGTTTAGCATCATTTGTGGAGAGAAAGCAGAGTTAACGTTTTGGGTTCAGTGACCCTTCAGAACTATTAATAACTAGGAAAAGGTGGTATGTATGCTGAAGACAGGGGATAGGAGGGTACAGGAGTAAGCGATAGATGGAGACAGAGCCCAGTAGGAAAGAGAGAAAGCTGATAATGGGAACCATAGTGGGTGAAATGGATTGGCTGTGCACAGATTTTCTTTCTCCCTGGCTTGCCATTATCCATCCCTTTGTTTGTCTATCTATCTCTACCTCTGGGTTCTGTCTGTACTTATTGCTTCCAACCAATCCCCCAAAATCTTCAGCACAAATACCACCTTTCCCTAGTTGTCAGTTCTGACTCAAAACATTAACTCTACTTTCTATCTCCATAGAACTGTCAAACATGCTGAGTTTATCCAGCAATTTCTGGTTTTGTTTTAGAAATCCTTTCTAAGGTTGAGTATGCATTTGCACAGTGTATTGAATTTCTGATTGGTCCAAGAGGTGTTAGAATCGCCAAATTGTGATCTAAAACTAGCATCTTATAGCTGTGCTTACCTCTTCTTATTTTAGTGTGAAGCTAAAATTAACAAATAGAAGTTTTACCCTTAAAACTTGAAGCTGGACGAAATAAAGCTCAGGCATTTCATACTGAGTACATTTTAAATGTACTTCATCGATTGTAAAGGGCTTTAGAATATTAAAGGGCAAACTTCATGTAAGTCATTCCAATAAAGTGCGACCAACAAGTTCATTTTCATTCTATTGTCATGAGATGATCAGTTATTGGATTTGCATTAATTGCCAATAGCACAGAGGGTGTCTAATGTTTAGAATAAAGGCAAATTAGCAAAGGAAAATAGACTAACAAAAAAAATCAGAGTAACCATTCTCCCACAGTGGCAAAATTTCTATAAGTGTGTCCAGATAATTTTTTCGCACAGAAGTATGAAAAGTAATTCTAGTTGTAGAACATTACCAGAAACAAAAACAGAAATTGCTGGGAAAACTCAGCAGTTCTGGCAGCATCTGTGGAGAGAAAGCAGAGTGAATGTTTCTGGTTTAGTGAGTCTTCAGAATTGATAGTAGCTAGGAAAAGGTTATTGTATATACCAAAGATGGGTTGGGGGAATGTGCGGAGGAGTAAACAATAGGTGGAGAGGGAGCCGAGAGAGAGAGAGAAAAATGGTTTGTTGAACAAAGGGATAGGTAAAGGTAACAACAAAGACTTTATTTTAATGTAGTTTTCTTTTGAAGTCTACATTTATCCAGAACTAACCAGTAGATGTTTTTTAGTTTTTGTGCATAAACAATGTTCAATATTTGATAAATGCTTTGCTTGTTGATGTGAATTATTAAACTTACATTTAATAACTTTTCTTATTGTTTTAGGCCCTGATATGCAGACTAAGCTTGTAACAGGTGAACAGATAGACATACTCGCTAACAAGCTTGGAGAACAGTGGAAAGTATTGGCACCACACTTTGAAATGAAGGAGTCTGACATCCGTGGGATTGAATCTGATAGTGAGGATGTGAAGATGCGTGCTAAACTGCTGTTGGTTGCATGGCATGATCGGGAGGGACTGCAAGCTACAGTGGAGAATTTTTTGTCTGCACTGATTGATGCTGGTTTAACTGAACTTGCAGAAATCCTGACAAATGAGGCTGATAGTCTAAGCTAATCAATTATTTGGGACAAAAAAAGTGTACAAATTGACCAAGTTATTTTTATTTACTGCCCTATTTTAAAAGAAGGTGGTTAATTTTACAATAACTCTTTTATGAATCCATTTCTTTGATATTGGGATATATTAGTTTACTGTCCTTCCACCAGCAGTTGCTAGCCATTTATTTTACTAAGAGGTTTAAGTTGATGAGAAAAACTTGGCATGGTGTTTATGCTTACAATTGTAGGTCATTTTGATAATGGGATTGCTTTATTAAAGTTCAGAGTGGTTCACTGCCATGTTTTAGTGTAACCTCAATAATTAAATTTGCCAGACATTTGTATTCAGTTTGATTAGTGGGCAGATGTCAATATCAGTGGTTAATACCCTCTAATGTTGAAATGACAGCATGTAAATATGACAGTCATTCAATATTCTTGACTATGCATAAATAGGCCAAACAAACTTTGTCAATTTGTGAACTAAAGTTACTTTGAGCCAAACTGCTCCAGTTTAGAAATTTGATTATAAAAGCTATAATTTTTGAATCAATTCAACTTTTAATCTTTACTGTTGAATTTTGCCCTTCCTTCTCCTGTCCCAGTTTTCCTTGGGTTTCTATTTACTATTATGAAATACCATCTTATTTTTCTCACATTGGCGCCAACTGGTTTGAATTTTTGTATGCCATACATCATTCCCAACTAAAACAGATAATGACCTGATTCTGTTCCATTCAAAAAACAATTTACCAAAAAGACCACAAAAGTCGACAGATTATTTTTGTTATCTTACAGTTCCATTGTGACATAGAGACATGTATTTTAGTGCATGGCACCACAACTAAGATAGAGAATTTCAGTGTCTGAGGATTGCAAGCGTGTTGGGTCAGCACACTGACAAACAACTTCTATTCATTTTTGGATTGCATGTGACTGTTTAATAAATGATTCCAATCAAATCTATGTTTTGTGTAAAAAGTATTTTATCTGGTTCTGGAAGCATAAATAACACAGCATGTGGAGTTTGCTCAGAAATGTTATTTTGCCTTTTATTTATTCTAAGCTCCAGATTCAATTACTTCCTTTGTGGAAAGTTCTTTCTCTCTATAGCTGACCTGTGTCTTGATTTATTTTCTCTACACTGCTTCATTTCCAGGTTTTACCCAATGATTTATTATTTTGGAAGCCATTGTATACATATTGAAATCATACGCTGGTAAAATGTTTAGCAGTGCAGTGATACATCTCGTATTTGACTGAATTGTAAGCAAAAATCTTCTTTTAACCCAAAGTTTAATGTCCAAATATACATATTATTCCAGGAAGCAGGAGACTAATTCTTATTCTTATTGCTTTTTAAAGAAAGCATGTCACAGCTTTAATTGTCTCTGTTCTGTTCTACACCAGAAACAGAAACGAGCAGGCAAGACTACTGCTCCACATTCAATCAAATCATTGTTAATCCAATGCGGACCCATATCTTCTGATTCTTGTCCAAAAATCTCATGGTCTTGGTCTTGAATATGTCATCAATTTTACTGCCATAGTTGTCAATGAACTATTCCTAACGAATAGCAGACAGGTTAGTTTTATCATTTGGTTTTGTTTTGGGAAATTAATGGCATTAACGAGCATGGTTGTTCACTGTTAGGCTGACAGTGTTTCACCTAGGCAGTGACCACAAAACAAAATTGGTTAGTGGACTAAAGTTTTGGAATATATTTATTATTTTCAGCATACTTTAGAAATATTACTATTTGTTTATATTTTCTGATCCATTCTGTCCTTGTGTAAATTTCATTTTATTCTCCTATCCTCAGTGTAAGTTTTCTTGCTGAGATCACAGTCATGCTTATGTAATTATCTATATCTGTATGAATGCTTCAGCTGTTACATCAAGTAGAAGACCATGACACTCGTCATCTATTACAGCCCCTAAACAGCTCCTGTCATCTTGTGTTTATCCCAGGCATGCCACCTTTCAACTCCCTTTCTCCACTTATCATACTTGGCATTTCAACTAGAAGCCAATGCTCTCTAAATACTGCTGAAAAGTTATACATGTTGCTGAAGTTTTCTAGTAAGACAAATGCCAGAATCGTGAGCTTCAAATGATCATGACAATTTGTACTGTAAGAGAAAAATTGCTGATTCTTTAGCAAATTGACTTAGCTCAGGCATTGTCATGAAGAAAGCAACAAGGAACTGGAGGCTCCCCAAGCTCCCTGATAATTCCAAATTGAGGTTAGGCCTGAATAATTTTATGGGTATCTCTGGTTAGGCCAGCATTTACTGCCCATCCCTAATTTCCCAGAGGTGGATCTGGAGTCATATGTAAGCATGATAGTTTCTTACCCTAGAAGACATTAGTGAACCAGATGGGTTTTTTCCTGATAAAAGTCTAATATCATAAAATTATTTTTATTGCCTTAATAGAGGAGGGCACAAAATGTTCCAAAAATTTTGGGCAGCACAAGGTCTAGTGAGTAGGAGGAACTGAAGGCAAACAGCATTAGTAGGGCAATGTTTTTGGAAATTGATGGGAATGAAAGCTGACAAATCTGCAGAATGTCCAGCAATCTACATCCCAGAATACTTAAAGTAGTAGCCTAGAAATAGTGGATGCAGTGGTGGTCATCTTTCAAGATTCTATAGACTCTGGAACGGTTCCTAATGGATTTGAGAATAAGCCCACTCTTGAAAAAGTGGAGACAAATGTAATGACAGACCTGTTAACCTGGCATCAGTAGTATGGAAAATGCTTGAGTCCATTATCAGAGAAACCCTACAGGGCAGAAACAGGCCCTGTAGTTTGCCTTTATAAAGCATCCACCCAGTCCCAGGTCCCAGCACCTCTCTCTTCCCCACCCCCATTCACCTAACCTGCATGAAGATTTCTTTTCCACACTCTGTGGAAGGATATTCTGGCTATGAAGGGAGTGCGGTGACTGTTTACCACACTGATTCCTGGGATGGCAGGAGTGCCATGTGAAAAAAAACAGTAGTTTGGTTAGGACTATATTCACTGGAGATTTAGAAGAATGAGGGAGGATCTCAAAGACTGAAATTCTAACAGGATTAGACAGGGTAAAGGCAGGAACATGGTTTTCAAAGAGCAGGCAGTCCAAGACCAGAGGTCATTGTCTAGGGAAATGGGGTAAGCTATTTAGGACCGAAATTAAGAAACTTTCTTCACCATGACAGTGGTAAGTCTGTGGAATTGTCTGCCACAAAGTGGTTGAGACCAAAACATTTAAAAAAGTCAAGGAAGACAGACATATTAAGTCTTGGGGTTAAAGGGATCAAAGTGTATGGGGAGAAAGCAGGAACAGGAATTGATCAGCCATTGAATGAGAGAGCAGATTCGAAGGGCTGAAGAGCTTATTCCTGCTTTTAATTTCTTAGTTTCTATGTAGTTTGTAAGCAAGCTGACCCAGCTCATTGTCTACACTGGGAAGTAGTAAACTGCATGTAAATGTATAAAAGGTAGATGCCAACTGATTCTCCCTTCCTAAAAAAAAGTAAAGTTAATTAGCCATTTAATAAATGTCACGAACTCAGCATTTTGGTAAAAGTCCATTTCAAGTTGTCAGTTATCAAAAATCCTACACTTGGGTTTGGAGTTTCAAATTTGATTTACTTTCAATAATTTGTGTTCATAAAGTTATCACACACAGCATGAAGATAAATCCCAAAGAAACTGGTATCTTCTTCCATTATATTTATAGTATGACTACCTAAAATATAGAACAAGGCTCTTCTGCCTATCACATCCAAGCTAGTCAAAGACAATCACCTAACTATTCAAACCACATTTTCCAGCATTGTATGTCTTGGTACCGCAACTACGCATCTAAATACTTCTTAAATGTTGTGAAAGTCTCATGTTTAAATTTGACTTAGAAACAGACCATCTTGCTGGATAAAAACAGCTAAGCCTGATTTCAATCACATTCCAGCTAAAGTTAACTAAAACTTCAGAGAAAAGTCATCTGCTTCAAGATAACTGTGGAAATCATAGTCAAGCTCCGATATGCTAAAATTACGAAGAGTACTTGAAAGAAAAGATTTACAAGGATGTTGCCAAGGTTGGACGGTTTGAGCTAATCGGCTGGAGCAATTTTTCATGGAGCATTAGAGGCCGAAGGATGACCTTATAGAGGTTTATAAAATCATGAGGGGTATGGATAGGATAAATGGCCAAGGTCTTTTCCCCAGAGAAGGTAAGTCCAAAACTAGAGGGCATAGGTGCAAGGTGAGAGGGGAAAAGATTTAAAAGGGACCTAAGGGGCAATTTTTTCACTTTCAGAGGGTGCTGCATTTATGAAATGAGCTGCCAGAGGAAATGGTGGAAGCTGGTATAATTAAAATATTTAAAAGGGATCTGGATGGCGAGATGAATAGGAAGGATTTAGAGGGATATGGGCCAAATGCTGGCAAATAGGGCTACATTAGTTTAGAATATCTGGTCTGCATGGACAAGTCAGACCAAAGGGTCTGTTTCCATGCTGTACAGCTCTATAAGAAAAAGGAGTAAAAAGAAGGAAATGAGTAAATCAAACAGGATCATGCTGTTTCAGTCTTAAGGCGGGAAAAACAATTAATTTAAATTCAACCCATTCCCCCAACATCAGTGTCATTAAACCACTATGTTGTAGTGCTAATTTTCACAAATTATGTTATGTAGCACAATATGGTTTTAAGCAAAATGGTTTTGTGAGGCAGCAATATCAAAACTTTGCACATAGTTACAACATGAACTTTGTGAAAGGAAGGTTTACTCTAATTATCATAATGTTTTAAAGGAAACCATTTAAGTGTTAACTGTGGTCGTGATGCTGTACAAAAGAGAAGCAGTCGTGATTGAAACAACATTTAACATAAGAAGGAACAGCACAAAAGAATTATGGATCATTTTTTTTATTATTATTCCACATCGAGAAATGTCAGAATTAAGACTAGATCAAATCCACAGGCCTTCCTCAACTAACACCCAGTTTGTAAAAGGTGTGGTAGATGACGTGAAGCAGTATCAGAAACACAGCTGAGGCAACACCTTCCTTTTTCAGTTTTACTTAAGGTCAGCTACAAAAAGGGAAGGCATCATAAAACATTAATAGCCATGCAGGATAATGAAAATTAAGCTAGTTGTGCTCAATCATGACATCACTGTGGAGTGTCATCTTCAATTATTTCTAGTCTACGAGGGCCATATAGTAGAACATAGGCTATGTGCCAGTCACCTCCACCAGACAACTTCAGAATATCTTCAGGTGCCACAACACTGACTTTATCGTCATCAAATTTGATCCACTCATCTAAAAAATGAATTCAATAAAAAAATGTAATCTTCACATTCAAGTATATATAACATATAATCTCTTATTGTGATTTACAACAGGACAATGCATGAAAACTTGTGGCAGTTCTACTGCACATCTACTCAAATGGACTAAGTACAGAGATACACAGACAAAGACATAAAAATAGGCCTGCCAGAGATCACATGTAGTGTGGAAATATTATGTTGAATCTTTCTATTGGTACTGGACACAAACAAAAACAGTTATCTGTTTAAATAAGCACAAATTTCTCAAGTTACTTAAACTATTTCAGGACTCTTTAAGAAAAGAGTAGGAAAGTAATGGCATTATGCTCCACCTTGAGCTGTTGTTATGGGGGATATGATACCACCTTGCAAGGGAAGATAAACAAGTGGAAATGCTGTGCCAGGAGGACATTACTGTCCAGCAGCTAACCAAAGCAGGTCCTGAATAAGATCTGGAAGTAAGTTGCATGATTTCAGAAAACATGTTCAGTAAAAAGGTACAAGAATAAATTGTCGAGTTAATTTTTTTATTGCATACCATTTTGTGGCAGACTGATTCTTTTATACTGAATGCTCATTTTCTAATTTAGAGGCAAATTGATTCTTCCGAAGTAAACTCGTTCACTGTCATGTC